GTGGTTGCAAGACACGTGTCATATGATGCCCTCTACCAAGCAGCACAGTGCATATGCATGGGTTGTCACATGTATCCTCTTCTTAATCAATCTTACTTTTCACACCTTATCCCTCCATAGCTCATATAAAAATTAACCAACCATTCACCGACTATTTGTACGACTGCCATACTCAGAGCTGCTTGAAAAACGTCTTTTTCGCTCTCGGGCCAGCCGTCGTCTAGTTGATGTTGTCAACTTTGAAAAATGCAGAAGTCTCGCAGAATAGCTTCGTTTTCACTCTTGCAGATAGACAGATAGACAGACAGACAGAGATAGATAGAGAGAGTAGACAGACAGACAGAGATAGATAGATACAGTATATAGATAGCTAGGTAGGTAGGTAGCTAGGTAGGAAGATAGATAGTTAGATAGACAGATGAGATAGATAGATAGGTCGATCGATAGATAGATAGATAGATAGGTAGGTATTTTGATGAAAGAAAGAGAGAGAGACAGATAGATAGATAGATAGATCGATAGATAGATAGATAGATAGATAGATAGAAAAACCGATAGATGAGATAGATGAGATAGAAAAGATAGATTAGATAGATAAGATATATTAGATAGATAGATTAGATTAGATAGATAGATTAGATAGATAGATAGATTAGATAGATAGAATAGATAGATAGATAGATATATAGATAGATAGATAGAATAGATAGATAGAATAGATAGAATAGATAGATAGATAGATAGATAGATAGAATAGAAAGATAGATAGATAGATAGATAGATAGATAGATAGATTAGATAGATTAGATAGGTGAGATAGATGAGATAGGTGAGGTAGATGAGATAGATGAGATAGATGAGATAGATAGATAGATAGATAGATAGATAGGTAGATAGATAGATAGATAGATAAAAAGATAGATAGATAGATAGATAGATAGATAGGTAGATAGATAGATAGATAAAAAGATAGATAGATAGATAGATAGATAGATAGATAGATAGATAGATAGATTGGTAGATTGGTAGATAGATAGATAGATAGATAGATAGAATAGAATAGAATAGAATAGAAAAAATAGATAGAATAGAATAGATAGAGTAGATAGGTTAGATAGATTAGGTAGATTAGGTAGATTAGATAGATTAGATAGACTAGATAGGTCAGATAGATTAGATAGGTTAGATAGATTAGATAGGTTAGATAGAGTAGATAGACAGACAGAGATAGATAGATACATCGAAAGCTAGGTAGGTAGGTAGATAGATAATTAGATAGACAGATGAGATAGATAGATAGATCGATCGATAGATAGATAGATAGGTAGGTAATTAGATGAAAGAGAGAGAGAGAGAGACAGATAGATAGATAGATCGATAGATAGATAGATAGATAGAAAGACCGATAGATTAGATAGATTAGATAGATCGATGAGATTGATAGATTAGATAGGTTAGATAGAATAGATAGATTAGATAAATTAGAAAGATTAGATAGATTAGATAGATTAGATAGATTAGATAGGTGAGATAGATGAGATAGATGAGATAGATGAGATAGATGAGATAGATGAGATAGATTAGATAGATTAGATGGATTAGATAGATAAGATAGATTAGATAGATAGATAGATTAGATAGATTAGATAGATTAGATAGATTAGATTAGATTAGATTAGATTACATCAGATTAGATTAGATTAGATTATATTCGATTAGATTAGATAGTTAGAAAGATAGATAGATAGAAATATAGATAAATAGGTAGATAGATAGATAGATAGAAAGACAGATAGATAGATAGAGTAGATAGAGTAGATAGATAGAGTAGATAGACAGAGGTAGATGGATAGAGAGAGAGAGAGAGATAGATAGATAGATAGATAGATAGATAGATAGAAAGGTAGATAGATAAATAGATAGATAGATAGCTAGATTAGATAGATAGATTAGAAAGATAGATTAGATAGATAGATTAGACAGATTAGATTAGATTAGGTTAGATTAGATTAGATTAGGTCGATTGGATAGATTAGCTAGGTAAGAAAGATAAGATAGATTAGAAAGATTAGATGGGTAGATAGATAGATAGATGGATAGATAGATAGATAGATAGCTAGCTAGATAGATAGGTAGGTAGATAGATAGATTAGATTAGATAGATAGATAGATAAGATAAGATAAGATAAGATAGATAGATAGATAGAAAGATAGATAGATAGATAGATAGAATAGATAGAATAGAAAAAATAGATAGAATAGAATAGATAGAGTAGATAGGTTAGAATGATTAGGTAGATTAGATAGATTAGATAGACTAGATAGGTTAGATAGATTAGATAGGTTAGATAGAGTAGATAGACAGACAGAGATAGATAGATACATCGAAAGCTAGGTAGGTAGGTAGATAGATAGTTAGATAGACAGATGAGATAGATAGATAGGTCGATCGATAGATAGATAGATAGATAGGTAGGTATTTTGATGAAAGAAAGAGAGAGAGACAGATAGATAGATAGATAGATAGATCGATAGATAGATAGATAGATAGATAGAAAAACCGATAGATGAGATAGATGAGATAGAAAAGATAGATTAGATAGATAAGATATATTAGATAGATTAGATAGATTAGATAGATTAGATAGATTAGAAAGATGAGATAGATGAGATAGATCAGATAGATGAGATAGAAGAGATAGATGAGATAGATGAGATAGATGAGATAGATGAGATAGATTAGATGGATTAGATGGATTAGATAGATAAGATAGATAGATAGATAGATAGATAGATAGATAGATAGATAGATAGATAGATAGATAGATGAGATAGATAGATAGATAGATAGACAGACAGACAGATAGATAGATAGATAGGTAGATAGGTAGATAGGTAGATAGGTAGATACGTAGATAGATAGATAGGTGGGTAGATAGATAGAAAGATAGGTAGATAGATGGATGCATGGATGCATGGATGGATGGATGGATAGATAGATAGGTAGATAGATTAGATAGATAGATAGATAGATAGCTAGCTAGATAGATTAGATAGATAGATAGATAGATAGATAGATAGATAGATAGATAGATAGATAGATAGACGGATGGATAGGATAGGATAGGATAGGATAGGATAGATAGATAGATAGATAGATAGATAGATAGATAGGAAGAAAAGCCGATAGATTAGATAGATAGATAGATAGGTAGATAGATTAGATAGATAGATAGATGGATGGATAGGATAGGATAGGATAGGATAGATAGATAGATAGATCGGTAGGTAGGTAGGTAGGTAGGTAGGTTGATAGTCAGAGAAAGAGAGAGAAAGAGAGAGAAAGAGAGGAGACCTCAACCACCTTTCGGCCCATCAGTGGATTCGCTCTGCCATCCGTGATTCACAACAACCAACCTCTCCTATAGGTTTCCTATTTTTGAAACTTCCGCCGCCGCCTTGTGCGGTACTACTGGTATGATAGGATATGATTAGATACGTGTGATGCAGGCTTGTAATTCCATTCGAATAGCCGCATTGCCATTTTTTCATGCCTTTCTCATTGTTGTTTGAGACGTGGTTTTCCTTTGTCCCTATGTTTGCTTTGAACTTGCAACGCTGTAGATCGCTGTAGTTTTTTACGTCAAATCTTCGGGTACCTGCAACGAATCCCACCTGTTTAGCCATGAAGAATCGTGGCCGGAGCCTGGCGTGGCTCCTGTGCAGCTTTCTCGTCGCATCCGTGATGAGAAGGCCTGGCCTGACCTTTCTGGTTGCACCAGCTGGGCCGTCACAGCGCCGAGCATTGCTCTTGGGAGTCAGTGGGGCCATATCGGTGCCGACAGAGGTAAGAGCAGAGAGCACCGGTGCGGCCAAACTGAAGGAATGCGAATCAGAAGTGAAGCAAATCTTGGGAGGTTTGTCATCCAGTGCCCCCAATGTTTTTGCGATGACCCCCGCTCAGGTATCAGAAGTCAATGAAAGGGGCCCTCCGAAAATGGGCAGCTTTGCATCCGCAGAGGGTCCCTGCTCTGCATCAGCCCTTAGGACGGCTGCTGAGGCTTTGGCCAAATCACCTCCACCAGGATTGAATCGACAGCAGCTCGAAAAGTTGGAGGATGGACCAAAGCGAATTGTTGAAGCTCGTGAGGCAATCGTCGAAGCTAACAATCAAAAGCAGGGAGCACGCCTGTTTGGCGCGGTCAAGAGGTACTTAGAAGCAACAAGCTCGCTTTTGGTAGCAGCGCCTTAAGTAGCTAGTGGCTTTCAACTCGCAGACTCTTCGCAAGCTTGACTCAAAGAGGTGGCAGAAGCGGGGTGCAGATGTGTGGGATGTGCTCATGGATTTGAAACCTGGGAATTAGATGGAAGTGGTACAAAGTGGGTAATTACTTCACAAGACTTGGGGACTCCGTAAAGCATCGTAAAGCGGCTGTTTGCATGCCACTGGTTGGACTCCGGTTTAGCTGGACCACTTTGGTCAAGGTCGTTGCATATCGGAGATCCAGGCATATCACCCAGAGGCGAGGGCCGGAAGATTAGTTTCTTGAATCTCCTTTTTTGCCACGTCACGGCTTCAACGGTCTGGATGCCAACAGCTTTCCATCGTCAGCACAGCAGCTTGTCGACATGCATGTGCACTCAGTTATTTTCAGTTTTTGCCCACAGGGCAGATTGCTAGCCAGCATTATTGCGCAGTGCTCGAGCTTGAGATTGCAACTCCGGCAAAAGTGGAAGAGGCCGAATTGATGGGTATATGTCGATTTATATAAATTGATTTACTTTTAATTATTGGTTGCATGGTTTCAGGGTGCCTTTCTGGAAACCAGACCCTTACAGCCTTACAGCATTGGTACACTTCATCCTTGCATTGTTGGTGCATTTTGGGGCCAGTGCGCTCCAAGAATCAAACAGCTAGCAGCTAGGAAGATGCCTCCATTGTGCTCCAAGATCTCTTTGAAGCGCAGGCAGTGAACGCCACCTGGGATGTTTGGATGCAGCCACGCTTGGCCACAAAGGCATTGAGCCAGCTAGCGCAAGGGAGAGGCACGTGGCAGGCAGCCAATTTTAAGCTTTCTGAGTTCTGAGCCTATTTTGGTACATTATATTTATTAATATTACTATTACAATATATATATATATATATGGCTATCAGTGCCAATCTTAATCGTGTAGTAGGTGGTCTCGGTCTAGTAGTTCCAATTCCCCGGGTAGTTCAGCAGCCGGTCTTTTTCACCATTGTGCACACTGTAATGTCGGAGAGCAAGCCATCATCTGTCGGTGGCTTGAGCCAAGGGGCAGCGCGGCATTTAAGGATTGTTACATGCACGCTGACCTGGCAATACTCACGTGCATTCCTGGCTGCAGTCCTAGTCACACCGTCACACCCCCCATGTCCGACTGATTTCGTATGTCGGACACGAGAGCAAATGCCAGGTTAAAATTGTGTCCTGTCTGAATTAAGTCGGTGCTATGCAATGTAACTTATGTGAGTCCAAAAAGGTGTGAGGCACTGACCTACCACGACCGCCAGCACTGTACACGGAGTGAAGGTGATCCTACTCGCAAGGTCTGTGACGACGCCGGACGGGCAGACGTCATATTCCTTTTGAAAGAAATCGTTGACCCCAACACTTTCTAACGTAGCTGACTATAGCTTGCGTTGTTCTGTGTCGAGCCTGGCGTCGCTGACTAGCGTGCGCCGGCTGTTGGTCGTTCATCCGTATGACACTACTCGCAAACTGAGACTGGTATGGACACATGTCTGAGGTCGCCCACCTCAGCTCATAGTTGGAAAACATGCTTTTGCATGGTGGTCATCGTACGTAACCTCACATGCGTAAGCATCGAAAGTTGAATTATAGTCCGGCTCAGAAGTGGTCCTCATGAAGTAGTTCAGCGGCGTCTCCGTTTCTTGGTGTCTTTGCTGCTGGATGCCGCTCCGCCTTCTTCTCCTGGAAGATTGGTGATGGCTCTGACGTATGTGCGGACTCCATCACGATCTGCAGGATCCATCATCCGCATACTAACGTCGAGCTGTGCATCGCTCTGTCGGACCGCTTTCAGCTTGCCCTCTGATTCCTTTTGCAGCCCAGCAGGTGCCAGGGGCTGCACGTCTGTTTCGCAGTCCTCTCCCCCCAACTGACAAGCGATCCATAGCACCTGATGCAAATCGACAGATTGTTCGGAGTTTCGGTCAAGCATGCCGGGCAGATGATTCTCGTGGAACGTAGTTCTCAGCAATGAACGTCACCAGCCTGATTCCTCAAGTCGCTCTGGACCCATGCTCTCGAGCTCCCCAATGTCCTTGACGAACTCGTCATTAGAATGGGATGTCGTCCTCAGGGCTGATCTCATCTAGCACCGCCTTGGCGATCCTGATGACCGTTGCTGCGGTTGCGATCTCCCTCGGCTCCTTGATGGATCGCACCACTTGAAGCCGCCCAGAGTCTACAAGCAAGCGTTCCCAATTGTAGGCATTGGTCTGATACGAAGCTCCGGCCACATCAGAGAACGGAATGTTTTCATCAATCACCACTTGGCCCGATGCGTTGATCATATTTGATGACGCATCCAAGTCCAATGAGTCTGTGCACGCTGAAAGCCAGGACAATGCGTACAGTTCCAAGATGGGTCAATGCTCCACCTAGCACGGTCTTGTAGCGCTCGTCCCATGGTGCAAACGGGTTGAGGAACACTTGAGATCACTTGAGCTCGTCCTCCTCGATGTCCTTCTTTGATGATGCCATTCACGTTTGTCATCTCAGTGACGTGATAATATTGGAATTCATCCGCGAGTTTGGTGGTGATCGGATGACAAATCTTCTTGTAGTCGGGGCGGAAGTCATCCCCTTTTGATGAATGAGCTCCTGGCGATCTGACAGCAATTGGTGCAAGGAAGACTTCTCCATCTCGAGCGACAAGCTGGTGGATGTCTTCTCTCACGTTTATTATGGTCTTCTTGAGGTACTCGTCAGGCTCTGTCAAGCTCGAGTCCAAGACGATACACAAGAACTGGATACGGACCTTGTTCCGTCTCTGGAATTCGGACCATGCCATCACATCTTGATCATCATGTCCATCATCCTCGGTCCTGACATTCTCATGGTCGAATATCCAGCCATGGTGCAGGAACTCCATGATGTCGACCCAACCTGCCTCATCGCAGTGGAGTCCAGGGTAGTTCCCTGTCTTCTCTCTGACTCGTCCTCGACCAATGTGGTAGGGCCTTGTTGAAGTAGTAGCTGTAGTTGTCCTCCCACCCCTCTACTTCCACCACGTTCGGGTTCTCATCAGTTGGTAATGGGAATTCAACGCCACCTCCGGCGAAACACTTGGAGTAGAACTTGCCGCCATTCAGTGGTAGAATCTTCGACTTTCCGATGTCGGTCTTGATCGGGGGCTTCTTGTACATCTTGTGGTCAGAGTACTTGAGGGCTTCCTTCATGTCTTTGCAGGTCAATGTTACGCCCCTTCGACTTGCAATGTCAACGAGGTCGTTCAATGCCTTCTTCGTTTTGGGCCCCTTCTCATCAATCTTCACTCCGTTGATGTTCAAATCACCGTGAGCACGATCACCAATCACCGAAAGTGGGATAGGACGAAGGTACATGTACTCTCCTTCCCTTGTGGCCTGGTATTCGCTCTGTGGTTCTTTGCTCTCCTCGCCTTGAGCGTGTTCTTCATCACCAACTTCCTCACCCTGAATTTTCTTTCTCAGGTTGATGAGCGCGCTCTTGGCTGGATCATTTTCCTTCTTTTTGCACTCGTAGTTGGCGTGCCCGCTCTCGCCACATCTAAGACATACGTTGTTGTCATCCGCCAGCGCGAAGAATGCGTCAATGGCGTCCATGACCTGACTTTGTCTTTGGAGATCTGGTATTCCTCCTCAGGATCGGGCATGCCGGGTGCGTTCTGCCTACTCGGGCCGGTCGACTGGCCTACCCCTTCGGCATCGGCTCCTGCACTCGTGGCTTCGGGTCCATGAGTAGCTGACGAGCTTGCCCCGGTCCCTTGTCCACTTTGGCCCATATAGGGTCATCTTCTTCCCACGTCTTCGATCTCCGATAAATCTGGCTGATGACCTCGATCTCCTTGTCCTCGATCATACACATGTTGTTCAATTTGTTCCAGATCGGGCTGTGCGCGCAAGATCTGACCCACCACGTGGCTCTCTTTGGACGCGAGTTCCTCTTGGTGTTTGATGTAGATGACGATCTCGTCGTGCCGTGGAAGATGTTGATCGATGCTTCCAATCCCGCTAGTAATTCTCCGGGATCAGCACGAGTCTCCATGAACGTGATGTGTTCCTTCGTCATGTTGGCGATGTCAAGCATGCCAAGCCACATCTCTACAACATCACCGCACTTCTCCGCCGCCACGTCTGCATAGTCCATGATCTCGTCAAATTCACGTCCCAATACCATTTTGAAGTAATCCTTATTGTAGAAGACGTTGCCATAGTCTTTGGCCACCCGGTATAATAGGCAAAACGTTCATGCCCACCATCGCCTCCATCCAACAAGAACTCTTCCCGGATGACGGTGTATTGTCTTCCGCGTTTCCCCATGAAGATCTGGGTCACTCGATCTCGCGGTACTCTCACCATGCCAAAGTGCGAGATTGCCTTCAAGAGGATCTCACCATGAGGGATTCTCTTGTTCCCGACCATGGCGTAGGTGATGTCCTTCATGAGGAACTGTACGAAGTTGTCGCGGGGATCCTCAACCTTGTGCCCCTCTTCGGCCATCATGATATAGTGAATGCCTTGATTCTAGAGGCCATCTTAACAATGGATTGCCGTTGATAGTAAGGCGGCCACAAGAAGTACCTCTCGGACATTTCATTGGCACTGCACACTATGCATGTCTTAGTTCTTTCCCATGATGTCATGCGGCAGGACCTCGTCATCCTTGCCGTTGTAATGACCACTACAGAGAATGGACTGGTCAGTAGCATGATTGACGTAGAACCACATGTCATTCACGTTGGCTGATGGCTCTGGAACCATTGTCTTCACGTTGGCTTCCACCGATGGTGCTTTTTCATGTTCCACTGATGTTCGCCTACTCCCACCGATCGTGCCAGTTGATCCCGCACTTGTTGTGTTGGGTACACCACCTCCAGTCCCAATCTCGACGGTTCCTTGAGCACGTCCTCCATCTGTTCCAAGTTGATGCCGACCTTCATTGACGACTCTTTGGGCAAGTCGTTCAGCCCCTTGGCAGCATCGACATTAACCGAGCACATCAGCAGTACCCGTTGTCGAAAGAGGAACTTTTCGATGGTAGCGAACACTCCCAATCTTTCAGGGTGTGTCCATGATTGTTCATGTAATTGTTTCCGGCACGACCATACATCAATCGCCACATTCCGTCGGCCGTTGTGACCATAATGCCATAAGTCCTGAGGATGTTGGCCGAGCCCACTGCGACATCATGGATGCCTGTCTGGCCTGCGCATCATCGTTCTTGCCGACCATGGCCATCATTGCCCCGACTGAGAGGGTAGTAGTTCTGATGCAACATGCCGCCGCGTTTCAAGGCAGCGTTGCAAATCTTCAGCCACCCCATGTCACTGAACTTCCATGATGCGTCCGCAATCACATCAGTGTTGGCCAGCTGAAAACACAAGCATGTATACATTGCAATTCTTCTCAGATACTGCCTCCAAGTCTGTTGAGCACTGTTCGCCATTGGCCCTTGAATGTGGGACAGCGCAAAGTCGATGGTGTTCACGTGGATGTTCAGGCGAGATCGAGCCGGTGTGCCCGAGTAGTCATGAAGCACTTTGTTGTAGAGCGTGACCGATATCGGCTTCTCTGCGTTGACAAACTCAGTGGCGGGTGCATCCTGTCTCGGCATTGATTTCGCCGCCGGCTTCGGTTCTGCCCTTGATGATCCAGCTGCTTCTGTTATGGTTGTGGTCCCGTCGTCCCCGATGTCGGTGGAGGCGGAGGCTGAGGTCTCGGCTTCGGCTGAGGTGAAGGTTGCGTTGGGGGCGCCTTGTATCTAGGAGGTGGTCCACACGCTGGGTGGTTTTGGTTGAGGTGTCCACCTTCTCGCCTGAGCCACTGTTGGATCTGGCACAGTCACCCACGCAGGCACTTAGTTGTTCGGAGGTTCTGGCGGAATCTGGTTGTCTCCACATCTCAAGACCCGCTTCCAGTCCCCAGCAGCCACCTGCGCTCCCGGTTGTCCTCCACCAGCTTGAGAGTTTCCGTGAGGGTCGTCATGAAGTCCCTCAAGGCAGAGAAGCATTCGCTTCCTGATATCATGAAGGCCTTGTCCGATATCTTCAAGATTTCTAGCCTATACAGGGTAACGCTGTCCGGCCAAACGAACCCCGAAAGACCAGGTTAGGCCAATCCCAGCCGAATATATAGTTTATACCTGATTCCGAAACTGGCGACACCGACAAATTTGGTCAGGTAATGGCTCTTTTTATACAATTGTTCTTTGGTTGCTAAAAAAGTTCAGGTCATTCGAGACGTTAGCTGTGAAAGTTTGCATGCAAACTTGCGAGGAGGGGTTGAAAGTTTGAGTGCAAGCTTTCGGGCGGGGGGGGCTGCAAGTTTGCGCGCAAGCATTGCGAGCAGGCTTGAAGATTTGCCTGCAAATTTGCGCGTTTGCAAAGCACAGTCGCGGGTTGAAAGTTTACTTGCGAACTTGCCAGGTGGGTTGGAAGTATGCAAGCAAACTTGCGGGGAGGGTCGAAAATTTACATGCAAAATTGGAATTCAAGGTACTCGGCATTTAAGTTCAAGTACGACTGGTGGCAGAAATAGTTTTCGCCCGCAAAACCCAAATTCACTTAGAAACGAGAAAGATAAGACCACCAAAAACTCTCCGCAGCGACAAAAAAACTTGTGAGGTGACTCTCTGCCTTTTTCAGGGTAATTTTTCAGCTCATTCGACAGATTGGCAATGAAACTTTGCATGCAAACTTCCGAAGGGGGGTTGCAAGGTTGCATGTTAACTTGCGAGGGGGGAGCGGAAGTAGCAGGTGTGAAAGTTTGCACGCAAACTTATGAGGGGCGGTTGAAAGTTTGAGTGCAAACTTCTGGGGAGGGGTTGCAAGCTCGCGTGCAAACTTGGGATCAGGCCTGAAAGTTAGCCTGCAAACTTCCGCAGCATTTGCACAGCACAGTTGGGGGGTTAAAGTTCTGGTCCAATTTTGCCAGGTGGGTTGAATTTTTCATGCCAATGCATGCCCAGGGGGGTTGAAACCTTGCATGCAAAATTAAGAGGGAGGTTGAAAGTTTTCATGCAATTTTGGAGTCCAACCTGTATAAAATTCAAATAAGAAAAGGTTTGATCAGGCGCGATAATTGTAAAGTTAAGGGATGAGCGTTTAGGCAGGAAATTGATGATCCTGGACTATTGAGTTAATAGCGGTCATCAGCTTGAATTTGGAGAAACATTGCTTTACCAGCAAAAACGCAAGTATAACAGAGGAAAAAAACGACTATTAAATGAAAATCATGCCTTCTTGCCTCATCCTCGCGCGTGGCCACGTCCGACGGACAGAGGCCACTGAAGGTCGTCGGGATCGTTGGGATCTCACCGATGTCGATCGCTTGGCACTTCCTTGATTTGACGTGATGTTGCTCACCACGGTGAAGCTGCTTGTGGATGCGCCACTTCCAGGTGCTACATATGATATTGTACCACCACCACCACCACCACCGCTCTCCACGGACCCCGGCGCGTCGTTGATTGCCGCCGGCGCCGCCGCAAAGGAGAAGTTAGTCTCATTGCTGCTGGACTGGGGATTTTGAGACATTGCTGCGGCTTTGGATCACTTCCGTTTACCACAGCCCAACGACTGGCAGCAGGACAAGTAGAGCAGGATGCCTAAGTCAATGTCCGAGTCAATGATCGGTTCGCCCACCGGAGTGGGGAAGCAGCCAGCCAGGTAGGTGCCCTCTTCAGACACCTTGCCGTCGGACTCTGCCGCGTTGTAGAACCACCGTGCCCCCTTGTCAGAGCGTACGGCTGATAACTTGTGAATGGCTATCAGTGCCAAACTTATATAATCGTGTAGTAGGTGGTCTCGGTCTAGTAGTTCCAATTCCCCGGTTAGTTCAGCAGCCGGTCTTTTTCACCATTGCGGATACTGTAATGTCGGAGAGCAAGCCATCTGCCGGTGGCTTGAGCCAAGGGGCAGCGCGGCATTTAAGGATGGTACATGCACGCTGACCTGGCAATACTCACGTGCATTCCTGGCTGCAGTCCTATTCACAATATACATATGTGTGTTGATGAAAGATTTTTATGTCCAAGCAATTCTTCATGTCTGACACCCTTGCAATCAGATTGATGTGCAGCCAGACTGATACTATGTGATAATTCAACGGGGGCCGCTTGCAGCTCTGTGGCACAGGTAGCCGAGCAAGTCTTATCGGCCATGCGCAGAGGCGCGGGAGTAGCCGTGTAGCGAAAGGAATTGTATAACACACACACATATACCTAGACCCTTGATTTTACTACTTTTTCTTGGTCGACCAGTTATTTTTGGTTTGACTAAAAACTCGTTTTTGTGACCAAAAAAATGGTTAAACCAAAAAAAAAAAAGAAACCAAAAAGAAACTAGTTTTTTCAGTTTATTTCACTTCTTTTCGTCTGTTCCATGAGCACTTTGCGTGGGAGTATGTGGGAAACAGGAAGAACATTGCAAGTCTTGCGTGCTTTCGGGAAGATGGAACTTGCACACTGTTTACAGAGATGTAAACAGAAATTGAATCGTAAATTACCGGCAGACATGTACATAATTTTCATTATATACATATATATACACATTTACACGCATAAAACAAATATAAACATACATATATATATACACACACTTACGAATATAGTTACGTATTGAGGTTTTCGCATATTTACATCCCTACATAAAAGACCCAGTTACTTTTATATATGTTTCTGCTATTTTGATTTTGTGTGCATGTGTGTGTGTGTGGTATAATTTGTTGCGCCTGTTTGAAATGTATAGCATTTGTTTTTGGTTCCAAACCAAATTCTACATGTCTGGCCTTTTTGCATTATCCTTGCGTTCATGGCATGGCCCTTTGCTGAAGGAATGTTCAAATCCGCTGTGCAGTGCTAATGATGTTCAACCGCAGATGTTGCCACACAGGATTGGGAAAGTATGTGGCTCAAAATAGTGACTATCCATCCATCTATCTATCTACGTAATTGTTGCTATCAACAATTTGACAAAGACTACTATGAACATTCCAAAGAATGCTACATGCCAGAATGACGCAGAGCGTGACCAGACAGGCAAAATCAAAACAATGTTTAGTATATGTGTGGCATGTGAAAGACCTGGTGCAAACGCTTGGCGCAGGAAAATTTGTATTTTCTGCAAATTAGAAGAAAAACCATGCGTCGAAAACCGTCGAAAACCGTCGGATTACCAAAAAAAATTGGTTTAACCAAAAAAAAACGCGAAAACCGTCGAATTGTGTGATAGCAGTTTTAAACATGTTTTTTTTACCAAAAAATGGTATCTTTGCAAGGTATCTGTTTTTCCCCACCTGCCAGGTGAGGGTTGTTAGATTTTATGTCAGTTGCCTCCTCCTCCTCCTCCTGCTCCTCCTCCTCCTCCTGCTCCTCCTCCTCCTCCGCCTCCTCCTGCCTCGTCCTCCTCCTCCTCGTCCTCCTTGTCATCCTTGTCGTCCTCCTGCTCAACTGCGACTCGCGATCCACAGTGTTCGCTGCCGGACCTCAACCACGACCATCCACGCCCAGTGTTCCCTGCCGGACCTCAACCACGACCATCCACGCCCAATGTTCCCTGCCGGACCTCAACCACGACCATCCTCGCCCAGTGTTCCCTGCCGGACCTCAACCACGCCCAGTGTTCCCTGCCGGATCCACGCCCAGTGTTCCCTGCCGGACCTCAACGCGAGTATCCACGCCAAGTGTTCCCTGCCGGACCTCATGTAGGAAGATAAGAATGTCAGATAGAGTGCCAGAAGATTTGCCAGGTAGAATGCCAGAAGATATGCCAGATAGATATGCCAGAAGATATTCCAGAAGATATGCCAGATAGAATGCCAGATAGAATGCCAGAAGATATGTCAGAATATATGCCAGATAGAATGCCAGAAGATATGTCAGAATATATGCCAGAAGATATGCCAGATAGAATGCCAGAAGATATGTCAGAAAGAATGCCAGAAGATATGCCAGAAAGAATGCCAGAAGATATGCCAGATAGAATGCCAGAAGATATGCCAGAAGATATGCCAGATCATATGCCAGAAGATATGCCAGATAGAATGCCAAATAGAATGTCAGAAGATATGTCAGATAGAATGCCAGAAGATGTGCCAGATAGAATGCCAAATAGAATGCCAGAAGATATGTCAGATAGAATGCCAGAAGATGTGCCAGATAGAATGCCAAATAGAATGTCAGAAGATATGTCAGATAGAATGCCAGAAGATTTGCCAGTAAGAAAATGTATAAATGTCATGGTGGGGATCACACGAAGTAAAGTAATTTTCATGTTACTTATGGCTGGTTTTTGCAATTTATATATAGTTAAACTTGCCTTCGCAGGTTCTGGGGTGCCTGGGTCGTCTTCTTGTGAAACTTTTACGACTTCGTCCTGTCGTAAAGAGACACAAGAAAAAATGCATCCACATATCATATATATATATATATATCAAGCCTAATAAGCTGTTCTTCTGGTTAATTTCGTTTTTTTTTGTTTTTTTTTTGGTTAAACCGGTTTCTTTTCGGTTTTTCGCTCTTTTTTCGTTTTTTTTCGTTTTTTTTTCTGGTTTTTTTTTTCCGCTTTTGGTTTCTATTTTTTTTTTTTCTTCCTGTTTTTTTGGGGGGTGGGGCTGGTGTTCGACAGCAGTCGGCGACTTGGAGACAAGTGGCCAACCAGAAATTTGGCCACTGCAGCTGATGTGCTTCCGAAATTACAAAAGCCGTACTTTTCGGTGTGTTCGACAGCAGTCGGCGACTTGGAGACAAGTGGCCGACCAGAAATGTGGCCACTGCAGCTGATGTGTTTCCGAAATTACGAAAGCTGTACTTTTCGGCGTGTTCGACAGCAGTCGGCGACTTGGAGACAAGTGGCCGACCAGAAATTTGGCCACTGCAGCTGATGTGTTTCCGAAATTACGAAAAAGCTGTACTTTTCGGCGTGTTCGACAGCAGTCGGCGACTTGGAGACAAGTGGCCAGCCAGAAATTTGGCCACTGCAGCTGATGTGTTTCTGAAACTACGAAAGCCGTACTATTCGGCAAAATGTGACCAACAAATTTTTGGTAAAACCAAAAACCATGAAAATTTTTGGTTTGACCGAAAAAAAGTAGTAAAACCAAGGGTCTAGGTATATATATATAATATATATATAAATAAATAACCCTAGAAGTCTAAGGTACGTACTTTTAAGGTCTTAGCCATGTCCGTAGAAGTGGCCATAAAAGGTACGTGTACTTTTAAGGCACCTAAAAGTACGATGGGAAACAGCTCCGATAATGCTCCTTTTGAGGTCTTAGGCCTGGAACCCATCCAAACGCCAACATGTGCTGTGATGATGTGGTTGCCCTAAGTCTCTTTTTCTATTAAAATTAGTAAACTTAAAATTTAAGTAAATTTCGTGGTTTAGTAGACGAAATTTAGGTAAATTTCCTAGTAAATCGTAAGTCGTAAAGTAAATGAAATTTAGTAGCATTAGTAAATTGATTTAGTAGTACTAGTAAATTGATTTAGTAGTACTAGTAATTTTTTTAGGGCATGATTTTCACATTGTAAAAACATGTAAAAAACTAGTTACTTTGTTCTAAGAGTTAGCACATTTTGTGCATGTTTCACTGCTTATGCTCAGCAATTGTATTTGAAATTTTGTGAATTTTTGAAACACTAACTAGAAGAACGACATGATTTGAGGCTTGGGACTGTGCTTCACTGCTGCTGAATATTTTTACTTGAGATATTTTTACTTTAGATTTTTTCCACCAGTAATTTTTGGACATTTATGTAGTTACTTGAGTTTACTTGTGATTAGTTGTAGTTACCTGAGCTTACATGTGACTCAAGTAAAATCTATTCAGATGTGGCCATTAGTACCCATAAGTAACTATATTTTTTAGGGTATGCAATCCATAAGTTCAATTGTTTACTTGCAATAGTGTGCAAAGCCAATCCAGCAAAACAAATTCAGCACAAGAATGCCAGTATAGAAACATCCAAAAATGTGTGTTGATTTTGATGAAAAATAAATACAAAACAGGTGAAAATAATTTATGAATTTTATATGCATTTAATATGCTTTTTATATGCACTTTTTTAAAATGCATGCATTTTTGAGAAAAGTGCATGTATTTTTCCCAAAAACGCATGCATTTTTAAAAAGTGCATATAAAAAGCATATAAAATGCATATAGAATACATACCAAATGTTGTACAAATTATATGTATTTATAGAAGAAAAATCATGCGTTTGATGAAGAGAGATCATACTTTGGCACAAAAGCCTGTTTCAAACAACTATGAACTATACATAGTTTAAGCTTTTCATTCTAATATCATTGGTGCTTCAAACTATGAGCTGATGAGCAACTTCAGTCCTTTGGCTTCATAAACAAACCTGGATGAACAAACAGCTTGTGACCTTCAGTTCAAATCCATTCCATTGCCCATGCAATGGTTGATGTCCTACTAAGCAATTGTGTGATACCTGTGTCAAACCATACCATATCCTATCATATGTATATATATATAACTTACTTGAGATATGTGGTTTTCTTTCTTTGCTTATTCTTACTTGTGCAAGATCATTGGTCTACATATCAATGTATGTATTGAACAACAGATTGGCAGCACTATTTGTAGCTTGTGGATGAATCTTTTTGTGTACAAATCCCAAGTCTTTCATGTTCATTTTGGAAATTATGTACTTTGCTTGTTGTGCTTTCCCCAATCACAACAAGATAACCAAAGAACAAAAGACATGCATTTTGAGCAAAAAAGCATGCATTTTCTTCGGTTGCCAAAAAATTACTTTAGTTGACAATTTACTAGTTTAGTAAACTAAATTTTGCAATTTAATTAAATTTAGCCAAAAACTAAATTTAATAGAAAAAGAGACTTAGGGTGATTATGCTGCTTCCGGCGCACAAAATGAACCTAGAGAAACTGCAGCATGTTATGAATTTTGAAATCGTAAGTTTTCGTGAGTTGGACCCATAAGGTACGAGTATAGACCCATGAGGTACGCTAAGACGCGAAAGGTAGGAAGAAAATCGTGAGTTTTCGTGAGTTTTAGTGAGTAGGACCCATAAGGTACAAGTAAAGACCCACGAGGTACGCTATAGACCCGTAAGGTACGAAGAAAATCGTGAGTTTTCGTGAGTTTTCGTGAGTAGGACCCATAAGGTACGAGTATAGACCCATGAGGTACGCTAAGACGCGAAAGGTAGGAAGAAAATCGTGAGTTTTCGTGAGTTTTAGTGAGTAGGACCCATAAGGTACGAGTAAAGACCCACGAGGTACGCTAAGACCCGTAAGGTACGAAGAAAATCGTGAGTTTTCGTGAGTTTTCGTGAGGAGGAACCATAAGGTACGAGTAAAGACCCACGAGGTACGCTAAGACCCGTAAGGTACGAAGAAAATCGTGAGTTTTCGTGAGTTTTCGTGAGTATAAGGTACGAGTAAAGACCCACGAGGCACGCTAAGACCCGTAAGGTACGAAGAAAATCGTGAGTTTTCGTGAGTTTTCGTGAGTAGGAACCATAAGGTACGAGTAAAGACCCACGAGGTACGCTAAGACCCGTAAGGTACGAAGAAAATCGTGAGTTTTCGTGAGTTTTCGTGAGTATAAAGGTACGAGTAAAGACCCACGAGGCACGCTAAGAACCGTAAAGTATGAAGAAAATCGTGAGTAATCGTGAGTGTTTTTTTTTTCCAGTGCATCTGAATCGGATCTTTCAGCAAAGTGATTGATCAAAACGCTCCTGGATTTTTCCTGGTCCAATGGTTGAATTCGCAAGCCAGGGATCCTAACAGTGAGCCTGAGATTTGTTTCCCTGATATTGCTCATGTCATCTATGCGAACCTTATATAATCTTATATATATATATATATCATAGCCCTCGGCCGTAGAACACCCGGCATTTCTATAACTTCCTCGGCCGTAGAAACCCTCGACATTTCCATAATCCCTTTTAGTACCACTCTGTAGGTGGCCCTTCCTTTTAAAGTCCCAGGACTTTCAGGGTAAATAAATAAATAAATAAACACATAAATAAAACACACACACACACATGCACGCGCGCACACACACACATATATATATATATATATGGGAATCGATCTAAAGGTCCTCGTAAGGAGTTTTAATTGTGAAAGCCGTGCATGTCATGTTGGAAACCCTCGCGAAATCTTGCGAAAGTTTTTTTTTTCGAGTTCGCGAAAGTAAAATTTTATTTCGCGAAAGTTTCGCGAAAGTTGGATATTATAATCATTATGGCTGCCACCCACTGCCGCCCGGGGTCCGGCAGGAGAAGGGCACATAAGGGCACCAGAGAATGCGAGTAGCAGTAGCCAAGTTTCCAAAAGTGAGGCTTTGCGAGAGCCAAGCACCAAGGCCCCTGGTCTTCGCTTTTCCTTCAGTGCACCCCCTGCTGATGGCCGGGGTCTGTGAATAATAGGGATATTTTCGCGAAAGTTCCGCGAAAGTTATGCGAAAGAGCGGGCGAAAGTCAAGCATGTTGAAGGGGGTGGGCCAGTAAACTTTGCAAAAGAGTCTGTCCTGAGAAGGGATTCCGTGATGCTAGCGCATGTTTAAAAGGCTACCAAGAAGTGATCCGTGATTCTCTGGCGTAATTTGGCAGGTGGCGAACGAATTAAGAGGTGTTGTTGGCCAACATGGGCCCCGCGAAAGATAAGCATGGAGTTCGCGAAAGTTTCGCGAAAGTAAAATTGTTATTCGCGAAGAATGGCCGTTCCGGGATAAAGGAATTTTGATCAACAACCATATAAATAAACCTAGTTCTTCAAACTTCACGATGGCTGTTGATGGCTTATAGGCGCAGCTGAGACCTCCACCTTCCACTACCATGCAGCTATGAATGCTTGTGCCACCACTGACATGTGGCAATGTGCGTTGAATTTGCTGAAGCTTGGCGGTGGATAAGGGAATGTATGGAAATGTCTTATGAACTTCAAGTCTTTCCAACGTTGTGGGTGGGTACCGGCACTGTAGAAACTGCGGAGCATGTTGAAACCAATGGGACAAGGGCCTAGCGGCTGGAGACAATTTCAATGAAGCAGGCAGGAAATCGCTTGCGACCAGAGTGACCAGGCCAAACTAATTCACCAGGTCATCAGGCTTATGCAGGTTGCTGTGTCACGTGGCATCGTAGCGACCGCAAACATGATGTAGAAGCATTGAGAAAACGAAGAAGTAGTTAGGATTCACTTGTGGCTCAGCTATGGCTCATTGCACTTATGACCTAATTCAATCTAATTCATCTGATTCTGGGACGACTTCACGAGGTCTCTAGCCAAGCCAGTGTTGCAGATCTCAGCTTGATTCCAGGCGACTATGGCGCTGAGGATAAGTTCGAGAAATTGGACACTTAACAAATTTTCAAACTTAGCCTGCAATTATGGATTGATCGCAACTTGTCACTCGTCCGTTTTTGGTAGAGGCGGTAGAGGGCATTTGGCAAGATGATCAACGTGTGGACATAGTGCATGTGCAGCTCAGGAAAAACTTACAACACGGACGACCAAAAACTTGGGCAAAGGAAGAGGCTAGGTGCCAAGAGGGTTGCAGCTGAGATTTGCTGAGTGGGGACCGTAGGGATGTCAAAACAGGGATTTTGGTCGCACATTGCAGATATCGCAGATCAATGTCGTGAACACTCTATAAATATATAATATGATATAATATAAAATAATTTATAATATAATATAATATATTTTAATATAATATAATATAATATAACATAATAAATTATAATATAATATAACATAATAAATTATAATATAATAAATTTTAATATAATATAATATACAATATAAAATATTTTATATATAATATATAATATATACTATTTAATATATAATATATAATATATAATATATAATATATAATATATAATATATAATATATAATATATAGTATATAATATATAATATATATACATATGATTTATATAATATATAATATTTATAATAATATATATATATATATATGTAATATATATAATACAAATAATAATATACATATATATATATATGTATTAATATATATATATATAATATAATATATTGCATATATATATATATATTATTTAATATATATATATATATTATATATTAAATATTATAATATATATATATTAAACAATATATATATGCAATATATTATGTGTATAATATGTAAATATATTTATAGAATATATAGTATATATAATTGATATATATATATATAATATAATATAATATAATATATATAATATAATATATATAATATATATAATATATATAATATATATAATATATATAATATATATAATATATATAATATATATATAATATATAATATATATAATATATAATACATATATATGTATTATATATATATTGTTCTCACGCAGCGAAAGCTAGTTGCCCGATCACTGCATACTGCGATATTGACAGTTTGTCAGAATAATCTATCCCAGACAAACGTCAAACCGTTGAAATCAGTTCAAAGCCTCCAAAGCTGAATGCACCTTCGAACTCAGATCGGCGTGGGCACGGTGTCAGCGGTGTAAGTGGTGCGTTGTCCTCAGTAGCGGCCACTTCCAGCGATGGTGGTGATTCCGCCGATTCTACCTAAGGCCGAAGTGCTTTTATTCTTGGATGTTGAAGGGTTTTGTCATGTTTTGTCAGAGTCCGCAAGTGTTGCTGAATTCTCACGAGATGCCAGTGTGAAGATGATTGGCGACACTTGCTGCTCACAACTTTTGTTTGATGGAAGGTATGTGACATGGGGCCGCCACAACATGTATCTTTTGGGATGGGCTTGGGTCTGGCACCGCCAAAGTCAATCCCGCCACGGTACCAGCAGAATGTAATTATCAAAGCTAAATTTCGCTAAATTTGCACTTACAAGTTCCGCTTTGACAGTTGGAGTGGGCACCTGCTTCGTCTGCGCCTGATGCTGATGACTCCAGAAACTGGAGCCACTTTTCAATGAAAGATGCTGCGGCTGTCTCAGGCAATAAAAAGAACTAAAAATGTTTGTATAATAGTATACACTTGTATACGTATGTATATATATATATACTATTTTTATATATATATATATTTGATATCTATTTCTTCACACACAGACACACACACATATACGTACATATTATATATATATATATATATTATATAATGTTATATATACCAGTAGTACCGCACATGGCGGAAGTTCCACAAATAGGAAACCTATAGGAGTGGTTGGTTGTTGTGAATCACGGACGTCCACTGATGTACCGAAAGGTGGTTGAGGTCTCCTCTCTTTCTCTCTCTTTCTCTCTCTTTCTCTCTCTTTCTCTGAATATCAACCTACCTACCTACCGATCCTATCTATATATCTATCTATCTATCTATCTATCTACCTATCTATCTATCTATCTATTGATCTATCTATCTATCTATCTATCTATCTATCTATCTATCTATCTATCTATCTCTCTTTCATCTAATTACCTTATCTATCTATCTATCTATCTGTCTGTCTGTCTGTCTGTCTGTCCGTCTAGCTATCTATCTACCTACCTATCTATCTATGTATCTATCTATCGATCGATCTATCCATTTATCTATCTATCTATTTATCTCTGCCTGTTTGTCTATCTATCTGTCTATCTGCATGCTTGGAAACGAAGCTCTTCTGCAAGACTTCCTCATTTTTCCAAGCTGACAACATCAAAAACGAAGCAATTCTGCGAGACTTCTCCAATTTTTGAACTTGACAACATCAAAAACAAAGCAATTCTGCGAGACTTCTTCAATTTTTGAACTTGACAACATCAAAAACAAAGCAATTCTGCGAGACTTCTTTCAAAAATGGAAAGTTGAGTGGAGAGCTGACGGCCTCGTACCAGTGCGTTTTGCGATTTTTCCACTCCACCTGTCTCAAGTACTGCGCTTGCCACGAAAAAATTGGCGCCAGGTCATACGAAGTGCTGCACCTGTTACGCAAAATCATCTTAGCAAACCTACAGATCTGATGCTCCTAAATGCAACCCCTCTCAGGAAATCAGCGCCCTGACCTCCTAACAGCTCCGATGAACATGTCTCTTGTACTGCGCCTGCCACGCAAAATGAATCTTTGCAGATCCTCTTCAAATGTCCCACGCCTGCAATCGTTTTTGGGCATGCTACAAAAACTTCACATGTTGCTCACTTTTGACAAGGGCCGCAATCCCTTGCGCCTGCCACGCGAAACGACACCTGAACGTCGAAAAGTGGTCCGAGCATGTGGTGTTTTTAACATTTTGACATATTTTGACTTCGAAATGTGCTTCGCGCCACAACGGCGTGCACTTTTTCGACATCTCAACTTCCAAAAGTGGTCCGGACCTGGTGTGTTTTGTACATTTTGACTTCGAAATGTGCTTCGCGCCACAACATCGTGCACTTTTTCGACATCTCAACTTCCAAAAGTGGTCCGAACGTGAAGTGTTTTCAGCTTTTTCACTTGCACATGTGCTTCGCGCCACAATGATCACAATGGTGTGCATTTTTCGACATCGCAACTTCCAAAAGTGGTCCGAAGCTGAGGTGTTTTGTACATTTTGACTTGGAAATGTGCTTCGCGCCACAACGGTGTGCACTTTTTCATCCCTCATCTGGCCAGCTGGCTCCGCACCCGCCGCTTCAGCGAGCCTACTTTTCGACCCTCCGGAGCCACAAATCATTGGAAAAACATAGTGTTTCGCGATTTTCCTACCTTTTCGCGCACCTGCATCTTCCTTCTTCTGACTCTTTCTCTTCTCTGATATTCTCTCTTCTGCTCTTCTCTCTTCTACTCTTCTCTTCTCTCTGGCCCTTTCCATCTCTGCTTTTCATCTGTCCATATAGTCGGAAGCTTGACTTCTAAACTTCCTTCGATTATAATTGCATCTTTTGTAAAACGCACATAAATATATATATATTATATATAGTTACTACAGCAAATAGTTTTGCAACCCTCCCTCGATCATGATTTGACATATCAATGCAAGCTGCGGCGCAGCTTGAGGACCCACTTTAGGTCATTGGCAGCGATTCAGCCCAACCAGTAATCTTTCATTTTGTAGCTAGAGAGCTAGGGCGTGCCTGGCTCAGTCTTGGGCCAGCAAAGTATGAGGATGTCCACAGGGCATTTTTTGCAAAATGTGTTTCCGTGTCGTGGCACCAGCTTTCCACAAACGATCTTAGCTTGTCTTAGATTCAACTGGCAAGAAACCAACCGCTACGGTGAGGCGTTCGCTTGTGCCGTTTTTTTTTGCGTCGCTTGTGCCGTTTTTTTTTGTGTCGCTTGTGCCGTTTTTTTTTTGGTATCGGCATTTTTCCTGTAAATTACAGTATAAAATGGTGTTTTCACGTGTTGTTTTTTTGACGTCGCTTGTGCCGTTTTTTTCTTGGCGTCACCGCTACAGGCTTCACTGTCACTGGCTCACCACATGTTGCTCAACCCCGCGCTGAAGTGCCAACAGTTGAGCTATCGTTAAAAGGTTCACTCCTGGGTTTCTTGGAAGCTTGATAAGGTGATACCACGCTATATCATACTATATCTTCTAGGATGCATGGATCTTAATGCCATACATTTTTCTATGATTTTCTATACTGTTTTGATCACACTCGCCATCTTCACCAGCAACTCTCACTGCGTGGAAGTCGCTCGGGTTCCCAAGTTGGCCAAGAGGCCTGCGGTCGTGTCATATTTTATCTCACCAAGAGTCAGCATGTCGAATAGACTGCAATGACTGCAATATGATTTGCAAAGACAGATCACTACGGATTGCGTAAAGAAGCACTTTCCGTGCAAGCAGATCATAAAGGCTTGCAGTCTGCATCGGTTTGAAAGCGTCCGAAGATCAGAGTTCAATTTGTTCATTTTTTTCGTTCCGGTTACAGTTGCATCTACGAATCTACGCGCTGTCCACGGCTTCTGTTCTCCATATCGTGAGATGTGAAATGCCGTTGCAGTCCGATTGCCACAGCAAACACTGGAGAGACTTTGTCATAACGCTTCCGTTAATTCAAGTCTTTCTGTTGCCGCTTGCGTGCCTGATGGGTGGTGGCCTGATGGATCACCTTTTCGAACCAGTCAAGGCTTCCAACAGGATATGTGGTATACTGCGGACTGTTTCGTAGCGTGCTAAAGGTTTCAACATACACACAGAACCCCTTTGTAAAAGGAGGTGTTGGCAACCGTTCATGGCTTGGTCTAGCGGCCATTTCCATGTTGGGGTGTTTGTTTCATGGTGGCCCAACTGTTTCTCACAGTTGAATAGGCTTGAATTGATGCTGTAAGAACGGCTGCAATTTCCTCCTGCAAAACTTGGCTTCCGCTGCTGGGCTTAAGACAACGGGACGTGAAATCATCCCTTTCACCATCTTTCACCAACTGTCACCATGTCTGACTACTCCGACGACAACGGTGAGACCGAAGATGTCGAGGCGAGTCAAGAAATCTTGTCTGGTCAAACCAGACGAACGCAAGAGGAGTATCGATACTATAGAACATCATAGAACATATTTGGAGATGCATATCTGTGTGTATATCCAGAACTAAAGGACCGGATAACCCCACATGTCAACTTCTTCCAATAAGCACAAAACAGGCGTGAACATGGGATGGGGAAGGCAGTAAAAATAAAGGAGATGGTGGAAGACAGGTTATCAAATTGTGTGAAAGAGCTGAATGTCACAAGGTTTATGTGAAAGAGTTGTATGCGTGTGTGTGTGATAGAGCTGGTTGTGACAAAGTTGCGTGTTCAGTGTTCCGGAGTTGTGTGTGACAAAGTTGTGTGTGAAGAGTTGTGTGAAAGAGACTACCACTACCACTACCACTAGCGCTACCACTACCCTACGCTAGACTAGACTAGACTAGAGACTAGACTAGAGACTAGAGACTAGAGACTAGAGACTAGAGACTAGAGACTAGACTAGACTAGACTAGACTGACAGACTAGACAGGAGACTAGACTGGACTAGACGAGACTACACTACACTACACCACAAAACACTACACCACACCACACCACACTACACTACGCTACACTACATACACTACACAAATCACACTGCACTACAACTACTGTACAGCTACGACGACAAAATCTACTACACCTACAACTACATCAACTAGAGCTACAGCTACGACTGCCACTACACCACACTACATCCAGCAGTTGGTTGTGAGGTGACCACTGCAACCATTCCAAAAACAGAACTCCAACCACCTTTCGGTCCATCAGTGGATTCGCCCTGCCATACATGCATCACAACAGCTCACCTCTCCTATAGTTCCTATCTTTGAAACTTACGCCACCGACTTGTGCGGTTTTACTGATTACGAACGCCAGCCGATAGGCTAGGCAAAGTTGTTTTGGCGAACGAAGTGAGTATTAAGGGGTCTGGGGGGTGGACGTTGCCGTGGCGGGCCGGGAGCTCGAAATTAGGTGGCGCGGAGGCCGTGCAAATTGAAGTTTTTTGGGGGGCATGTACCATTACTCTGATCTTAGGTAACGCATTCTTACGGGAAAAACGCATGTCAGAACAGCGATCGTTCTGAGGGGTCATGTTTGAATGAATCCACCCATTTTTTTTTGGCACAAGATGGAGAAGCTGCCGCATCATGGGGGAGTAGGGAAACTGCAGCATAGAGTTGTTTGTCAATAGTAGTTGAATCTAGCACGCGCTTGCTTAGGCCAATTTCATAGGGGTGTTGTTTCAACACACTGATCAATCTTTGCGTTACTTCGCATTGCAAAAAGGGTGTCTTCCAAAAAACAAAGTTCCACCAGCAGGGTTTCTTGTCTGAGGTCATCATCAATGGGTATTCCAATCGGCCCATCGTTCTCACGAAGTGTTTGTGTTCTCAGTAGGCCAATTGTTTTAATGAGAGGAATCGTTTCTGGTGGACGATAGCCTAATTTTTTCCCGGACGTTTTTGATCAAAAAAAAAGGCTCAGAAGGATCCCGGTGGGAATGGGTGTGGTTGCGTTTCAGAGGGGGAAAAAAACAAATTCTCCATTCTCAGCCGGCAATCGCTCTCAGTGACCAGCATCGTTCTCAAGGAAAGAAAATGAACAGTTTTCACCATATTTTTTCAGCTGAGTTGGGGCAGGGGACAGGAGTGTGTACTTTGGTGTGCAACGTGCACGCATCGTGCTCAGCAGCACTGACTGTGCTTTCTTACGAACACCGATCATTCTCACGAACACCGCATCCATGGACTTGGGATCAGACTGATTTGGGTGCCTAAAGCGGTTCTCCAGATCAATCATAATAAATTATTACGTTTTTCCGTGTTTCCTTCAGGAATCTAATTCATATTCAGCAAAGGATTACCTGAAATTTGATTGCAGCAACTATGACCTCCATATGTTGAAATTCCTTTGGAAAGGGTTTGCGTTTTGCCTGTATGAAGGATGGTTAGTGTGAATTTTTGGGCATTCTGTATTGTTATTCAAAAATTGCCAAAGTTGAAACAGCCCTTCGGAATGGGCAGGGTTTCATTAGAATTACGCAAAGAGGTGACGATAGGCTTCGATTCCCCCTAGGTCCGTTGACTCCGGCAGGAAAAAGGCAGGAAAAACCCAAGGAAAATGAAGGAAAATCGTTAAAAACAGGGGGAAAATGCAGGAAAATGGAGGAACGGCAGGAAAAAGGTAGGAAAAAACTACGGAAAATGAAGGACGGAAAACGGAGGAAAATGGAGGAACTCCGAAGCTCAACGGAGAGCAGCGTCCGTTGGGGTTCGGAACAAGAGAGTTTGCAAGGGGATGAGAAGTGATACTGAGGAAGGGGTGGCGAAGGGTTGCAAAGCAAGGATAACAATTCCAAAGGTGCTGCAGATGGTTTGGGCTTCTAGTAGACGATTAACCAGCGGGCTGAGGATCATTACAGTAGGGGGTGGGCAGTGTAAAGTGTAAACTGTTGTGGGGGGAGTGTACAGTGTAAAGTGTAAAGTGTGGAGCGTAGAGTGTAGAGTGTGAAGTGTAGAGTGTAAAGTGCAGAGTGTAAAGTGTAAAGTGCAGAGTGTAAATAAGTGTAGAGTCTGGAGTGTCAAGTGTAAAGTGTAGAGTGTGGAGTGTGGAGTGGAAAGTGTAGAGTGTGGAGTGTGGAGTATGGAGTGTGGAGCGTGGAGTGTAAAGAGTGGAGTGACATACAATCTTTCACCCACTTTCTTTCACACACTACATTGTGACACACCATCTTTCACACACCACTTGGTGACACACTATCTTTCACCCACCATCTTTCACGCACAACATTGTCAAAGACAATTTTTCACACACAGCTTTGTCACACACCATCTTTCGCACACAACTTTGTCACACACCACTTTGTCACACATCATCTTTGACACAAAGTGTGGAGTGAGGGGTGTACAGCGTAAAGTGTAAGGTGTGGAGTGTAGAGTGTAGAGTGTCAAGTGTAGAGTTTAAAGTGTAGAGTGTGGAGTGTAAAGTGTGGAGTGTGGAGTGAGGAGTGCACAGTGTAAAGTGCAAAGTGTGGAGTGTAGAGTGTAGAGTGTAAAGTGTAGAGTGTAAAGTGCAGAGTGTGGAGTGTAAAGTGTGGAGTGTAAAGTGTGCAGTGAGGAGTGAGGAGTGCAAAGTGCAACGTGTAAAGTATGGAGTGTAGAGTGAAGAGTGTAGAGTGTAAAGTGTAGTGTGTAAAGTGTGGAGTGTGGAGTGTAAAGTGTAGAGTGTAAAGTGTAGAGTGTGGAGTGTGGAGTGTAAAGTGTAGTGTGTAAAGTGTAGAGTGTAAAGTGTAGAGTGCTGTGTGTAAAGTGTGGAGTGTGGAGTGTAGAGTGTAAAGTGTAAAGTGTAGAGTGTGAAGTGTGGAGTGTAAAGTGTTGAGTGTGGAGTGTAAAGTGTGGAGTGACACACAATCTTTCACCCACCATCTTTCACATACAACTTTGCCCCACACCATCTTTCACACACTACTTTGTGACACACCATCATCTTTCACACACCACTTGGTGACACACTATCTTTAACCCACCATCTTTCACACACAACTTTGTCACAGACCATCTTTCACACACAGCTTTGTCACATACCATCTTTCGCACACAACTTTGTCACACACCACTTTGTCACACATCATCTTTGACACAAAGTGTGGAGTAAGGGGTGTACAGTGTAAAGTGTAAGGTGTGGAGTGTAGAGTGTAGAGTGTCAAGTGTAGAGTTTAAAGTGTAGAGTGTGGAGTGTAAAGTGTGGAGTGTGGAGTGAGGAGTGTACAGTGTAAAGTGTAAAGTGCAAGAGTGTGGAGTGTAAAGTGTGGAGTGTAGAGTGAGAGTGTAGAGTGTAAAGTGTAGTGTGTAGAGAGTGTAGAGTGTAAGAGTAAAGAGTGTAAAGTGTAGAGTGTAAAGTGTAGTGTGTAAAGTGTAGAGTGTGGAGTGTGGAGTGTAAAGTGTAGAGTGTGGAGTGTGGAGTGTAAAGTGTGGAGTGCGGAGTGTAAAGTGTAAAGTGGAAAGTGTGGAGTGTAGAGTGTAAAGTGTAGAGTGTAGAGTGTAAAGTGTAGAGTTTGCAGTGTAAAGTGTGGAGTGTGGAGTGTAAAGTGTGCAGTGAGGAGTGAGGAGTGTAAAGTGCAACGTGTAAAGTATGGAGTGTAGAGTGAAGAGTGTAGAGTGTAAAGTGTAGTGTGTAAAGTGTAGAGTGTGGAGTGTGGAGTGTAAAGTGTGGAGTGTGGAGTGTAAAGTGTAAAGTGCAAAGTGTGGAGTATAGAGTGTAAAGTGTAGAGTGTAAAGTGTAGAGTGTAAAGTGTAGAGTGTGGAGTGTAAAGTGTGGAGTGTGGGGTGTAAAGTGTGCAGTGACGAGTGAGGAGTGTAAAGTGTAAAGTGTAAAGTATGGAGTGTAGAGTGAAGAGTGTAGAGTGTGGTGTGTAAAGTGTGGAGTGTGGAGTGTAGAGTGTAAAGTGTAGAGTGTAAAGTGTAGAGTGTAAAGTGTAGACTGTGAAGTGTGGAGCGTGGAGTGTAAAGTGTAGAGTGTAAAGTGTAGAGTGCTGTGTGTATGTCTGTCTGCGTCTGTGTCTGTCTGTCTGTCTGTCTCTGTATGGGAGGGAGGTGACAGTTGGCTACGCGAGGTTACGGGGAAGCATGGGAGCAACTTTCTGCCATTTAGCGGCCCTTTGGTCGGCTATTGACTTTCTCTTCTGGGATCATTGGGAAACGGCCGTTTTGGGCCAAATTTTAGCCGGGAGGTCACGGAAGCAAATTTCTGCTATTTGGCGGCCCCTCGGCCGCCTATTGAATTTCTCTTCTGGGATCATTGGGAAACGGCCGTTTTGGGCCAAATCCTGCCCGGGAGGTCACGGGAGGTCATGTGAGGTTACGGGAGGGCCTATTGAATTTCTCTCTGGGATCATTGGGAAACGGCCGTTTTGGGCGAAATCCTGGCCGGGAGGTCGCGGGAGGTCATGGGAGGTTACGGTAGGTTACGGATGGTTACGGGAGGTTGGTTTTTGGGCGGCTATTGAATTTCTCTCTTGGGATCAGTGGGAAACGGCCGTTTTGAGCCAAATCCTGGCCGGGAGGTCACGGGAGGTCACGGGAGGTCACGGGAGCAAATTTCTGCCATTTGGCGGCCCATCGGCCAGCTATTGAATTTCTTTTCTGGGATCATTGGGAAACAGCCGTTTTGGGCGAAATCCTGGCCAGGAGGTCACGGGAGGTCACAGTACCACTTTGTATTGCAAAGCTTGCCAAAGCTTGCACAAATAAGTACTTCCCAGTATATTACTTTGTACTGCAAAGCTTGCCACCTCCCTCCCATACAGAGACAGACAGACACAGACACAGACACAGACACAGACAGACAGACAGACAAAAACCCATGGCAGAAATTTGCTCCATGCCTCCCCGTAACCTTGCGTAACCTCCTGTAAAAGCTTGCACAAATAAGTTTTTCCCAGTGCTACTTTGTACTGCAAAGCTTGCCAAAGCTTGCACAAATAAGTACTTCCCAGTACGACTTTGTACTGCTTGCCAAAGCTTGGACAAATAAGTACTTCCCAGTACTACTTTGTACTGCAAAGCTTGCCAAAGCTTGCACAAATAAGTGCTTCCCAGCACCACTTTGTGCTGCAAAGCTTGCCAAAGCTTGCACAAATAAGTTTTTCCCAGCACTACTTTGTACTCCAAAGCTGCACAAATAAGTACTTCCCAGTGCTACTTTGTACTGCAAAGCTTGCCAAGGCTTGCACAAATAAGTTTTTCCCAGTACTACTTTGTACTGCAAAGCTTGCCAACGCTTGCACAAATAAGTACTTCCCAGTACTACTTTGTACTGCAAAGCTTGCCAAAACTTGGACAAATATATAAGTACTTCCCAGTACTACTTTGTACTGCAAAGCTTGCCGAAGCTTGCGGAAAGCTTCCCCGTGGAGTGTGGTGGAGCGTGGAGTGTGGAGTGTGGGGTGTAAACTAAGGAGTGAGGAGTGTAAAGTGTAAAGTGTAAAGTGTAAAGTATGGAGTGTAGAGTGAAGAGTGTAGAGTGTAAAGTGTAGAGTGTAAAGTGTAGAGTGTGGAGTGTCAAGTGTAAAGTGTAGAGTGTAGAGTGTGGAGTGGAAAGTGTAGAGTGTGGAGTGTGGAGTGTGGAGTGTAATGTAAGGAGTGTGGAGTGTAAAGTGTGGAGTGTGGAGTGTAAAGTGTCGAGTGTGGAGTGAGGAGTGTAAAGTGTGGAGTGGGGAGTGCACAGTGTAAAGTGTAAAGTGTGGAGTGTAGAGTGTAAAGGGTAGAGTCAAAAGTGTAGAGTGTAAAGTGTAAAGTGTAGAGTGTGGAGTGTGGCGTGGAAAGTGTATAGTGTGGAGTTTGGAGTGTGGAGTTTGGAGTGTGGAGTGTGGAGTGTAAAGTGTAAAGTGTAGAGTGTAAAGTGTGGAGTGAGGATTGTGGAGTGGGGAGTGTGGAGTGTGGTGGAGTGTAGGGTGTGGAGTGTGGGGTGTAAAGGAGTGTAGAGTGTAAAGTGTAGAGTTTGTAGTGTAAAGTGTGGAGTGTAAAGTGTAAAGTGTGGAGTGTAAAGTGTGGAGTGTAGAGTGTAAAGTGTAGAGTGTGGAGTGTCAAGTGTGGAGTGTGGAGTGTAAAGTGTGGAGTGAGGATTGTGGAGTGGGGAGTGTGGAGTGTGGTGGAGTGTAGGGTGTGGAGTGTGGGGTGTAAAGGAGTGTAGAGTGTAAAGTGTAGAGTGTGGAGTGTAAAGTGTGGAGTGTAAAGTGTGGAGTGTAGAGTGTAAAGTGTGGAGTGAGGAGTGTGGTGTGAGGATTGTGGAGTGGGGAGTGTGGAGTGTGGTGGGGTGTAGGGTGTGGAGTGTGGGGTGTAAAGGAGTGTAGAGTGTAAAGTGTAGAGTGTGGAGTGTAAAGTGTGGAGTGTAAAGTGTGAAGTGTGGAGTGTAAAGTGTGGAGTGTAGAGTGTAAAGTGTAGAGTGTGGAGTGTCAAGTGTGGAGTGTGGAGTGTAAAGTGTGGAGTGAGGATTGTGGAGTGGGGAGTGTGGAGTGTGGTGGAGTGTAGGGTGTGGAGTGTGGGGTGTAAAGGAGTGTAGAGTGTAAAATGTAGAGTGTAGAGTGTAAAGTGTAGAGTGTGGAGTGTAAAGTGTGGAGTGTAAAGTGTGGAGTGTAGAGTGTAAAGTGTAGAGTGTGGAGTGTCAAGTGTGGAGTGTGGAGTGTAAAGTGTGGAGTGAGGATTGTGGAGTGGGGAGTGTGGAGTGTGGTGGAGTGTAGGGTGTGGAGTGTGGGGTGTAAAGGAGTGTAGAGTGTAAAGTGTAGAGTGTGGAGTGTAAAGTGTGGAGTGTAAAGTGTGGAGTGTAGAGTGTAAAGTGTGGAGTTTGGAGTGTGGAGTGTGGAGTGTAAAGTGTAAAGTGTGGAGTGAGGAGTGTGGTGTGAGGATTGTGGAGTGGGGAGTGTGGAGTGTGGTGGAGTGTAGGGTGTGGAGTGTGGGGTGTAAAGGAGTGTAGAGTGTAAAGTGTAGAGTTTGTAGTGTAAAGTGTGGAGTGTAAAGTGTAAAGTGTGGAGTGTAAAGTGTGGAGTGTAGAGTGTAAAGTGTAGAGTGTGGAGTGTCAAGTGTGGAGTGTGGAGTGTAAAGTGTGGAGTGAGGATTGTGGAGTGGGGAGTGTGGAGTATAAAGTCTATAAAACAGGTTGGAATGTTGCGAACGTAACCGCAACATCGAGCGAACACACCCTCAGCCCCGAGACCCCCGGAGTGAAACGGGAACCCTTGCTACGCATTCGGGAAAAAGGCATGACATGGAGGAAAGGCAAAGCTTTGAAAAAACTAGGAACACAGAGGCAAGCATATTGAAAAAAAATACGGATCCGAAGCTCAACAGAGAGCTGCGTCCGTTGGGGTTCGGAGCAAGACAGTTTGCAGAACAAAAAAGATTCCGGCTAGGGGCTGGCTTTCGTCCCCCCTTCTCAGGTTAATGTATATTATTCATCACCGGTATGATTGCTTACCCCATCGGAAAAGTGCGCCGCAGTTTGATGGCTTTCCGAACTGAAGAAATTACTTTCGGATGTCACGGAAGATTCTGCGTGTTTGCACGACCTCCTCGTCCACAGGTCCACGGTCCACTCATCACACAGCCACTATTTGAAGCAACCCTTTTGCAAGTACATCACTTATGTTTCTGCAGGAAGAAGAAGCCGTTGAGGAAATTCAAGATGGCGAAGACGCTGCGGGCAACGAAGAGGTTCCCAATGAGCAAACGGCAGCCTGGGTTGCAGCTGCAGGACAAGGTCTTTGCACCACATGGACTATCTAATTTCAATTCAATTTCCATCCATTGAATAGACATGTCCATCTGATTCCAACTGCACCTTCAGAGTTTGTTCTGACATGGCGATACTTAAGGCATCTTAAAACATTGGTTTATTGCGCGCTTACCGAGGCAGAATTTGAAGCGGATCGTTACGTCCAAAAGTACTTAGAAGTGAATGAGTTGACCTTCGAAGAGGCCCACAGCAACTCCCGAATGTTCTTGAACTTCTTGCTTGCAACATCTTGCCGTGCAGAGCGAAGGGAAACTTGCACACGGACCCTGGGATGAATAGAGAAAACCTTGTGAACGCATTTATGTGTTTCTTGTGCTGCTGATTGGTCGGGCTGACAACTGAAACCGGGAATGTTCAAAACTGTACAAGGAGGGCGTTGGGGACGAGGGCATCTCTGGAATTAAAAACAGATAACCTTTCCACCAATGTTGAAATTGCAAAAGCTCCCCGCTGTTTGATGCCACCACCCCCTACTTTGCTGCGAGGCGTCGTTTCCTCCTCAGATCATGCAAGGGGCGCAAGAGGCCTGGAACCTCTTTGTGAACTCCTTGAACGGCCGCCGCTTGGCTGCAAAGAGAAGTCATACCGCAGCTGGCAAATAGTCAACATTTTTCAACCATACTTTGATAATATATATACTTTGATGCCAAATGTCATGTACTTGTAGTGGTAGCATGTGGTAGCAAAAGTTGTGGAGTGGATGGTGAGCCAGATGCACTGCCACGGGAACAATTCACAATCTCATGACAACGCTTCCCACATATGAAAAGCCAATCGGATTAACAGGTAAATGCATGCAAATCACCTTCTGGCACCTGCTGGTGCTGTTTGCTGCTTCCAAGTTTGAATGTAAGTCGAACGACAAGCACGAAAATGTGACGTCAAACGAACAAAACACTGGAAAACCTGAGTTCGCTTTAAAGAAGGTTGATGTAATTGCAGGGGTGAGAGGCAAAAGATCAATGCACTTCCAGCAAGAGAAGTGTTCCAGGATGCGGGGTTGAATCGCAAAGAAAACAGAATCATTGCCTGTAGCTTGCTCTGGCCAGATCTCCCAGATGACCTAGGTGTATGTATATATTGTATGGAGCTGTATGTACAGTATATAATTGTATATATAATTTTGTATATATATAATATATATAATATATATAATATATATAATATATATATATATATAAAGGCCACACTACATATCATAGTAAGACTAACGATCTAGCGTTGGACCACCGTGTCCACACCGTGTGACTAGTAATCAATATCAATATTATATATAGATAGTTTCTGATCCGTTCTATCTAGTATCCAGTGCATCTATCTGTCTATCTGTTTCTCTATGCCTATCTCTCTAGCTGGTATAAACATAGCGTTCATAGCATCAGCATCACCTAGAATATGAATGAATATGGAATGTGATGTAGCTCAAGGTGATGCGGCCGGAGAAGCTATCTACGCAGCAGTCTTTGATGCAGCTCCCAGTTTGCAGAGTCTCTTCAAGACAGCCCGGTCAGTGGCCTCAGACACCCTCAGACAAAAGCAAGTGATGTAGAGTGATCCTGTTGTTTTCGTTTTTTGCGTGTAAGTCGTATGACATTTTGATTTGAGTCATATGTCAAAATTTCGCACTCGTTCACTGCCATCTTGAATCTTGGACAATTCAAACAATTGAGTTCAGGTCTGTGATGGCCATGCGTTTCATGACTCTTGGCTTACTTCCTAGAGTACCAGAGTCCACCTTGGTGGGAGCTTGTGTTGATTATTCTGTATGCAGACAGTGAAGCAACCAAAAACACTTGGATCACAGGTTTGGCGGAATCGCACATAGCAATTGCCTTGGGGGGAGTTATCCTCCTCAACATGTCATGTTGGTCCAGCATGGTTTTGCTGCTTGTGATGTCGATCTTTTTTTTTATTTCTATGTGACTTGGCCCCCTGTGCAGGAATGGTCTCACAGGCATAGTTGCTTCAGCGCACAGCCCGCAGCAACTCAAGACTCAGGTAGAGCCGCTCGCCTTGCATCCAAGGTTGAGACCTAGAGACACTCACGCACATACACACACAATATGTATATATATATATATGTGCATACACAAATGATGTGTGTGTATATATATATACAATATATATATATATATATAAACGTCATAACGAACCCTACCCCAACCCGAAGTCGTACCTGCTCCCCCGCGTCCAAAAAAGAACCCAAACTCCAAGCCGAACCCAAAGCGGACCCGGGGGTACTTGCTGATATAAGTCATAGTATGGTGTGTGTGTGTGTGTGTGGACATATATATATATATATATACACATTATATATATATATATACACATATAGTATATATATATATGTAAATATAAATAGATATGCATATGTATGCATATGTATGTATATATGTATATATGTATATATGTATATATGTATATATGTATATATGTATATATGTATGTATACATGTGTGTGTAGGCGTGTGTGTGTGTACCATCTGAAAAGATGTAAAACCTTGTTTTTGTAGGTTTCTTTCTTTCTTTTTGTCACTACGTTGAATCGCAGGGGAGTGGAGCAGGCCTGCAGAGCTCCACTTAACAAAGCTCTCTGCAGTGTCCTGAGGATATCACTGGAGACTTCCAGTGACGTACCTGCTCGGTCTTGATCACTTGTTGTTCAGGGTCTGCTTCCATTCATATCTCATTATTTGCAATCAGCGCGTGTGAATGGCAAAGGGGCTAAGCCGAGAACCCCACCAACAACGTTTCTGGTTCTACACGGTTGTCGCAATCTTAGATTTTCTTTGGCATCGATTTCCACGTTATTTGCATGGTATCCTCCTGTCATGGCGAAGGGCTAAGCCGAGAACCCTGCGGCGATTATTTTATTTCGGGGACTTTGTCTATGACTGGTTTGGCTTTTTCGGATGAGCTTCTATTTATTCGTAATTTTCATCCCAGAGATCTTCTTTAGGTCATTGTTTCTAATCCAATTGCACGTGAAGGGATTCAGTCCCCGACGGATCGATATAAAGATCCAATTTTATCTAGTGTGATTTCCATGGTGACTCCGACATGGTGCCATGTAGCCATGTGAGGCAACCTCTTTGTAGGTGAATGTGGACAGTTTTGACTATATACCGAATTCACACATTTTAACCTGGTATTTCATCTAAGTAATGTGAGACAGTTGGCCTTTCGGTTTTGCACCTTTTTCCACGTCCTGCTGCTCCTGTGGTCCCTTGCGAACCTTTGGAACCTGCACTCTCTGTGTGAAGCTGCACGGAACTGTCAGAAACTCCTTTTTTATCGCTGCAGCTCAAGCGTTTTCACAGTGAAACATGACAGCACAGGCATCATGCATGTCTTTTTCCTTCAGGTGTGGTTTCTTTGGTTTTCTGGTGAGGTGAAACATTTTGTGCACCTAATTCATCTGAAGTTGCATAGCTGTTTATGCCCACGTGGCCTGATTCGACTGCTGTCCCCTTTGTGGGAGTAATTGTCTGACTTTGTACATTATTTAGGAACTGAATCCTCTCGGGAGTTGATCTTTCTCGGTTTTTCTCACTCCGTGCGACTCGCAATGTACCCATGGAGCCCTTCATGGCCGGCGTGACGACCACGACCCCTACTACATCATCTACATGGTCCAATCTCCAAGGTGCCCTTCCACCACAATTTGTCCCTCCACATCACGCGCTTTTACAAGGACCTCCCCAACAAGTACCCGGCTCTACGACATTTTCTTCCACAGGACAACCTGAACATCTTTTTGGCCAACCTTCTGAACTACAAGCCCACTGGACCACTGCCCCATCGACGTCAACACCAACACTTCCACCTTCGACATCTTCCTCCATGACACCATCAGCTACCACACCACTGACTATGCCTTCACCACATGGACAACCTCCACTTCAGATTTCACCGCAGCAACTTTTTTCGGGCTTCTCGACTCCAACACCTCCAACCCAGACATTCCCTATACCGACATTCACTCCCACTGTCCCACACTTCGAACCGTCCCCTCCACTTTCTCAACACGTACCACATCCAGCGGCTGTTCCACCTACACCCCGGTCCACTTTACCTCCAGCCCTTCTGAGACATCTTGAGTGGCTGTGTGCCGCATATTCTGTAAACTAGGCTCCAACATGGTGTCATTATTCCGGAAAATGACCCTGCTGCGGCAGGGTGTGTGTTTGGAACATCTGTACAGTTTATTCCAATGTCTACGAGACAGATAGATAGATAGACAGATAGATAGATAGATCGATGGATGGATGGATAGATAGATAGATGATACTCAAGGTGTATCTAATGCACAACATGCACTTGGTGAACATGCTTCACTGATAGATTGATCGATAGATAGATGATAAATGAGCCATAGGCGCGAGGAGCTCTAGGAGCCAGGAGCCATAGAATCCATAGAAGCCACAGAAGCCGCAGAAGCCACCAGGAGCCACCAGGAGCCACAGAAGCCACCAGGAGCCACCAGGAGCCACCGGAGCCACCAGGAGCCAGGACCGTAGAAGCCACAGAAGCCACAGAAGCCACAGAAGCCGCCAGGAGCCAGGACCAAAAAAAAAAATTGCACCCCCTCAAAAAAAAATGCCAAAAAAAATGCCCCTCCATTTATATTTCTGAAATGTTTGATTTTTTCAGAAAAGTTTAAAAATTTATATTCTACAAAAATTAAGATCTATTTTTCAATACAAATCTTTTAAAAAGTTTATTTCTCAAAAAAAAATACAAAAAAATAAAACATCATAAGTCTTAAACATTTTTTTACTTTTTAAGACTTATGGATTAGTCTTCTCTTCTGGTTCTTTTTTATACCATGGAATTACTGTATCTCTAATTTCTTGTTTTTTCTTCAAATTCTTTTTCAAGTCGTTTCTTTTCCTTGCCCTGCGCCTGGTCTATTTTTGGTTTATATTCTCTTCTAAGTCTTTCAATTATATGCGAGGGCAAGTTATAATGATTTTCCTAGTGTTAAAGTTTGACTTTGCAAGGACATAAGTCACACATTCTTGTAGGATTGTTTGCTCTCTCTTCTTGTCTTTCGAGAGCGCATAGCCTTTTGTAATCTATACGCATTCTCTAATATTTACAATTAGGCATAAACTCTTCAAGTCATTTTGTTTTTTTACAAGGTGAATATTTTCTTTCACCGTCAAACATCTTACTTGTTTTACTATTATACCAGTAGTACCGCACAAGGCGGTGGCGGAAGTTTCAATAATAGGAAACCTATAGGAGAGCTTGGTTGTTGTGAATCAGGGATGGCAGAGCGAAGCTGCTTGATCTCTCTCTCTCTCTCTCTTTCTCTCTGTTTCTATATCTTTCTCTGATTATCTACCTACCTACCTACTGATCTATTTGTCTATCTCTCTGTCTATCTATCTATCTGTCTGTCTGTCTGTCTCTCTGTCTGTCTATCTATCTATCTATCTATCTATCTATCTATCTCCCTATCTATCTATCTATCTACCTACCTATCTATCTAGCTGTCGAGTTTACTAGCTATTTGTCTATCTATCTATCTATCTATCTATCCATCTATCTATCTATATCTATCTATCAATCGATCTATCTATCTATCGATCTATCTTTCTATCGATCTATCTTTCTATCTATCTCTCTCTCTATCTATCTATCTATCTATCTCTCTCTCTCTCTCTATCTCGCTATCTCTCTGTCTGTCTATCTATCTATCCATCTATCTATCTGCAAGATCAAGAACGAAGAAATTGTGCGAGACTTCCTTAATGTTTGAACATAACAACGTCCGAAACGAAGCAATTCTGCGAGACTTCCTCATTTTTCGAAGTTGAAGACATCAAAAACGAAAGAATTCTGCGAGACTTCTTTCAAAAATGGAAAGTTGAGTGCAGAGCTGACTGCCTCGTACCAATGCGTTTTTGTGATTTTTCCAGTCCTGTCTAAAGTATTGCGCCTGCCACGGAAAATTGATGCCAGGTCATACGCAGTGCTGCACTGTCACGCAAAATCATCTTAGCAAACCTGCACATCTGATACTCCAAAATGCAACCCCTCTCAGGAAATCAGCGCCCTGACCTCCTAACATCTCTCATGAACATGTCCTTTGTACTGCGCCTACCACGGAAAATGCATCTTTGCAGATCCTCTTCAAATGTCCCATGCCTGCCATCGTTTTTGGAAATGCTACAAAACCCTCACGTTTTGCTCACTTTTGAAGAGGTGCACAATCCCTTGCGCCTGCCACGCGAAACGACATCTGAACCTCCAAAAGGGTCCGAACCCCTAGTGCTTTGTACATTTTCACTTCGAAATGTGCTTTGCGCCACAACGGCGTGCACTTTTTCGACATCTGAACCTCCAAAAGTGGTGCGAGGCTGAAGTGTTTTGTACATTTTCACTTCTGAATGTGCTTCGCGCCACAACGGCGTGCACTTTTTCGACATCGCAACTTCCAAAAGTATCCAAAAGTGGTCCGAGCATGGTGTGTTTTGTACATTTTCACTTCGAAATGTGCTTCGCGCCACAACGGCGTGCACTTTTTTGACATCGCAACTTCCAAAAGTGGTCCGACCATAGTGTGTTTTGTATTGTTTTGTACATTTTGACTTGGAAATGTGCTCCGCGCCACAACGGCGTGCACTTTTTCGACAGCCCAACTTCCAAAAGTTCTCCGCACGTGACGCGTTTTGAATTTGTTCAGTCCCAAATGTGCTTGCTTCGCGCCACAACGACGTTCAATTTTTCATGTCTCATCTGGCCAGATGGCTCCGCACCCGCCGCTTCCTACTTTTCGACCCTCCCGAGCCACAAATCATTGGAAAAACAAAGTGTTTCGCGACTTTCCTACCCTTTCGCACACCTGGATGTTCTTCTGACTCTCCTTCTCTTCGCTGGTCTTCTCTCTTCTAATCTTTCTCTTCTCTCTGCCTCTGCCCTGCTCTGCTTTTCATGTGTCCATATTGTCGGAAGTTTGACTTCTAAACTTCCTTCGATTATCCTCTAGTATCCTCTAGTTGTGTGCTTGCATACTATGGTGGATGTCCTAGAGGGAGAAACCGGTCGTGCCATTTTGGGCCCAAGTGCCGAGACTCATCCGGCACAGCCCTCTTCCCTTTTCTCCCACCCGCCCACCCAAAGGGAACACCGGCCTTTGTGGGTGAGTGGCTATGTATATGATGATGAGCTCTGTCCAGGCCTCGCTCACCTTGGAAGTTAAGAGAATCCATCACATAGCCTTCCAGCAAACGCGATTTCCCACAGACTGGAAAAAGAGAAAGGGCGAGTGAAGTGTGCGAGCCTTTCTTGAGTTACCGGTGTAACCCCTGAGAATATCCAGCAGTAAATCACAGAGGGGAAGTATTCAAACAAAGCAAACCCACAATAACGGACCAAATACATCATATCAATCCAACAAGAAGTTTTGTGCCAATAAGACCAGAAAATTTTAACATAGCTACCGAAGATGAAACAAATGAAACTGACATAAAACAAAGCAGAGCAAAGAAAATAATTAAAGACAAACAAACCAAATCCAAAAGAGAACCAGCATCCATTGCAAATTCAATCATACCAGCGTCAAGCAACCAAGCACCCATACCAGTTGTTCAAGTAATGGATACAAGTTCAAGTTCTAAAAGAGCAGAACCAGAAACAAGAATAGAACCAAGAGGTATAGCAGGACGACCAAAAATGCACAAAGCAGGAACGGAAAGAGGCGATGTAACTAAAAGAGATGGAAGTGAACCGGAAGACACAACATCAAGAAAGAAGATAAGCAAGAAAAAGACTTAGGTTTAGGAATGGGAGATGATGCAGACGATGAAGATGAAGAACGACAAGCAGACAACAGAAGAACAAAAGTGCAAAAACCGTTACCACCATACAAAATTGGAATTCAAAGATTAAGGGAAGAGTTTGCGAACGCAAATAACAGAGGAATGATTTCCAAAGAAGAATATAACAGGTTCAACACACTATATAAAGACTTCATATCTGCAAAGGGTGACCAAAGCAGAAAATCACAAATAATAAAAGAAACCAGAGATGTTTACAGAGAAGTCCTATTTACAAAGTGGAAGGATGCTTTTAAACATCAATAATAGTAATTTCTCACTTTTAATGCAAAATGATTTAAAGAAATATTACCTTAATATAATGTGGACTAAACCAAAAGCCTTAAAAGTAAAAACTATTTTCAAGACTTATGATTTTACAGATATTTTTTGTGAACATGTTTGAGAAATATTTTTTAAAAATAAATTTCAATTTTTGTAAAATATAAATTTTGATAATTTTCTGAAATATGAATTTTCAATTTTTTCTGAAATATTTTTTGAAAATTTCTGGAATAAATATTTGTTTTAATTGTTTCTTTTTTAAAAAAAAGGGATTTTTGCATGAGAATGACATGAGATATATAAAATGGATGAGCGGGGGGGGGGATTTTATGAACGGAGGCATGACACTCGCTAGCTATATAATACATGTACATACATACATACATGCATGCATACATACATACACACATAGATAATACATGTACATACATACATACATACATGCATGCATACATACATACACACGTACGTACATACATACATGCATACAGACAGACAGACAGACATACATACATACTTTCATACATACATACATACATACATACATACATACACACACACATACACACATACACACATACACACATACACACATCCATACACATACGCATATACACATACACACATACACACATACACACATACATACACATATACATACACACATACATACACACATACATACACACATACATACGCACATACATACACACAAACATACACACATACATACACACATACATACACATACATACACATACATACACATACACACACATACACATACATACACATACATACACACATATACGTACATACATACTTGCATGCATGCATACATACATACATAAACATACATAAACATACATAAACATACATAAACATACATAAAAAAATACATAGTCATACATAACCATTCATAAACATACATAAACATACATAAACATACATAAACATACATAAACATACATAGATGTACAGATACATGCGTGCCTCCCTGCCTGCTTACTTGCCTACCTGACTGCCTACATACCTACATGCCTACATACCTACATACTCACGCATCTACATATATATATATAATATATATATATACATACTAGACACATAGAGTTGTGTATATTTCTACATACAGTACATATATGTATATATGTATAAATTTTAGACACATAGAGTTGTGCATATTTCTATGCAGTATAGTGTTTTGGAACCAATTTATGCATCCCTTTATTTATGTATACATTTGTTCAGTTCACATACTTTCACTCATTCATTCACTCACTCACTCATTCATTCATTCATTCAGTCAGTCAATCAGTCAGTGAGTCAGTCCTTCATTCATTTGTTTATTTATTCATTTATTGATCTCCAGTATTTTTTATGCATATAAAAATTGCCCAACTCTGAGGGCTGAGGGGGCGATAAACTAGACATGGAACTACTAGAATGAAATTATAATCTGCAAGATATCTCCTGGACTAGAACTGCTGCACAGGATTTGGGGGGATTTTGTGGCACACAACAAACTTGATGCTGTTGGGACTAGCACATCAGTGGGCAGTGCGCGCGTTTGCATTGGTCCCGATTGACCATTTTGTTGAGCCGACTCTTTGGAGCATGGATTGGCATGGTACATGTGTGCAGCTAAGGAGCCTGGGCTTTCAACACTTGGACTTGGAAGTGACTGTTCCACGTGTGGGCATTTTTCGAGATGCCATTGTCGATCTCTTTGATATGGCCACATGTCTGATGTCACAGAAGGGTGCGAGGAGCAGACAGCAAAAGCCACGAAATGCCTGTGTGTTTTATCGAGCCTGCCTCGAGAACTGTAAACCTGACACACTGGAATGCAATGCGTGGGAGTACTGGAGTTGCTAAATTTGCAAGGCGGTTGACAGGTCATCAAATGCATGGGGAGGTGTGGTAGCCACAGATGCCGTAGTCAAACTTCATAGATTGCTTTCGTGGTTACAAACTGCCACTCCGGAATAGTCATGCTCAGTACTTGGCTTGTGAACTCATGTGATCTGAGGAATTGGGGACACGATTAACCACAAAGGCCAAAATCGGAATGCAGGCCTGCAGTTGAGGTGAATTTATACTTTCAGGTACTTTATTTTCTCGCGTGAGGCCGTCCCAAACACAAAGTGGCAAGTTTTGGATAGTTTTGGTACAGAGAAACCAGAGTGGCTCACATACGGAGGTCATCCTGAACTATACCGGTGGTGCCTACATCTACATTCGCCGTGAGTATGCCTCCCGCATCCGAATCATTCAGCGCAGCTGGAAGACTGCCAACAAGCAAGCTGAAGAAGAGATGGAGGAGGCGCGGGGGGGTGGCCCATGGGGCCATGGGAAGCTTCGCAGGATTGGAGGCAGACACCAAACATTGGCAGAAACAGACAGGAGACAGACCGCTGTGCTGTTGAACGCATTCTCTGTACCTCTTTGTGTTCTTTCGAGCCTTAACTGTAAAGCACCAAAACGACTCTTAATAACATTGAATCTGTCAGTCTGTCACGTCTAAGTCAACACTAAATAACCCCCACACCAACCCTAGATAAACCATGATAAACCTTAAACCAACCCCGAATAGATCCCAAACCTACAAACTCCTGAGCCAACTTCATCTAAACCAACCCTAAACCAACCCCAAATAAACCCCCAAACCAGCCCAAAACATCCCCTAAACCAACCCGAAATAAACCTTATGTATATAGATCTTAAGCCAACCTGAAGTAAACCTTTAACCAATCCTGAATAGACCCCAGACCAACCCTAAATAAATAAACCCAAATCCAACTCTAAGTAAATCCAAAACCCAACCATAAATAAACTTAAATAAACCCATATAAACCCCAAACAAAAACTTAAACCAAGCTGAAGTACACCCTCTGGCAAACCAACCCTTTAAATTGCTCTTCCAGTTTCCAGATGGCTATCAGATTTGTGCGCGAAAGTCTTGAACAGAAACAACACTTTCAACCTACAATGCTGCAAATACCGCAGGCATGGCAGCTCGAGCTCCAAAATGCTGCAAATAGCAAGGAAAATTACAGAACAGCTGGCAGAACATCCGGAAAAAAAACGGGAAACATCAATCCACAAAGCATTCCGCACTGTAACAATGATTGGCAGCTGTTGTGCGAACACCTTTAAGTTTTGGACTGGATTTTGCAGGTGTCCGCCCCGCAAGAAGAAGGCGCTGCGGAGGAAGGCAATAACGCGAGTGCCTCACAGCATCAGGCTGGAAAGCTGTATGCAACAAGCGAGGTACGGTGTGGTGCTTGCGCGACCCTCTGGATCCATGTTTGAAGGTCCTAGATAAGATCTCCAGATGCACAAGATATTCAGTATTGAAATGGTCCACATTGAGCTCACTTGTAATGATATGTAATGATGAATCCACTTGAGATAGTCTTAGATACACCAAACTGCAAGGGATGCCAGCAGACAGTTTCGCTGAAAAGGCGAAGACCGATGAAAAGGACCCAAAGGCTGCAGCAAATGCAGGTGCGATCAACACCACCATGCAAGCTACAGATAAAAACGGCAAGACCAATGTGAAGGCGAGACGGGATCAGAAATGATACAGCTAAGGCTGCCAGTCCACGCAGGGGGGACGCGCCGCATTTCATTCCGAATTCCATTCCATGTTCTGCAATTAACTTAACTAAAGGGATGCCGTTGAAAGACGAAAAGCCAAGGTTTGCTGTAGTGTGGGCAAGTTCGGTTTGATTTCCAGGTGTTGTCATCTTTGTTCATTTCTGCGAGAGAGAACCGCTTCGTGTTGGACGGTATGCGGTGCACTTCATTCCGCGGAGCATTTTTTGAGGTTCTAATTTCAAGTTGAAAACACAGTGTCCAGGTTCCCACCTCTTTTAATGAAATGTTCCTCTTCAATGCGGCAGTGATGGGTCTTGGAGAGAGCGGTTGGATGGCGGCGACTTGGACTGCTCCAGCTGGAATTCAGGGAGCGAAGTGAGAGCAATCGACTCGAACAATGGTTGCGTGGAGGGGCTAGGCACCAGATGTTGCTGTCAGAAACTGCTTGTACATTGCATGCAAGTTTGAGTTTTGCGCAAGGTAACAAGGGCCTGTGTACCAAAAATATTCAAAGCATTACACAGTGAAATTGCTGTAAGCTGACTTCTGGTTTGCACAGCGCCTCAAATATTTTGGCAATTCTTCTGTGGCACACACACACACACGCACACGCACACACGCTCACATGTACATATACGTCTATTTGCATATATTATATAACTGTGTATATATATATAAATATTGCATGTATATGTATATGTATACATGCAACATACATATGGTCACCGACAGAATTATTGGAAAAAAAACGTTCAACTTAAACCGGCGGCGCCTGCGTCCGATTTTTCCATAATTGGATTTTTCGCCATAAGGGTTCAAAATATCCCGGAAGTGATCCGAACCTTTTTTTTTCCATAATTCTTGGAGGTGGCCATTATTTCCATAATTGATTTTCCTGTGAAATCAGGGGGCTAGGGCAGATTGACCGGTTTTTCCATAATTCATTATTTTTTCCATAATTAATGTTTGGGGCTCCACCTGTTGGACATGTCATGGATCCACAATTCAAACCCGTTTTTTTTGGGGGTTATGGAAATATGTATGCAAATGCAACTATGTAGTATCAACCCAATTGGTGGCTTGGCAAAAGGAAACATCCCGCATATGTATGTACGTACAACAATGAGTTTTGGTGGTGCAGTTGTTTTTCCTTTGTTGGTACCACTATGGTCCATGGGTAATAGCCATTAATAGCCCTCATATGTAATTCTTAAGTTGGGATACAACCTCTTGGTATGGTTAAAACTGGAACTGCATCCCCAAGTTGGGGTTGACCCCGCCATCCTGCCCGCCAGCTTCTCCCCGCCATATTTTCTATAATTCAATATTCCCCCTTAAAATGCATTCAAATTGCGAACATCACATGATATTATGTATATCAATGGAAGACTTAGGGGCATATACCAGATCTTTAGACACATATTTTCTATAATTCAATATTCCCCCTTAAAATGCATTCAAATTTTTGAATCGATGGACATACAGTCACCGACAGAATTATGGAAAAAACCAATATGGAAACAATAATTATGGAAAAAAAAGGTTCGTAACTTTTCTATCATAGACAGGCGGCGCCTGTAAATTGAAACGTTTTTTTTTCTCCATAATTCTGTCGGTGACTGTACATATACGTGCATGTGTATATATATATATATAACATGTATATATATATATAATATGTATATGTATACATATGTATATATAATATGTATATATATATATATTATATGGATATGTAATATGTATATATACATATAATATGTATATATATATATATATATATATGTATGCACAAATGCATACACACATGGGGATCGATGCAAAGGTCCTTGTAAAGAGTCATGATTGCAAGAACCGTTCATATCATGTCTTCGAGCCCTCGGGACAGTTTCTTTCGAGTTTGCGAAAGTAACATGTTGTTTCGCGCAAGTGATTTTGATCCCGCGAAAGGTAGACATGACGCTCGCGAACGTTTTGCCAAAGCGCATTTTTTTTCGTGAAGAACTGCCCTTTCCCGGATGAAAAAGCATCAGAGCAACCACCAAGATATTATAGCATTAAAGCATTAGAGCACTAATTATTACTAGTAAGTATTATTTATCTATATGTGCTGTGAACACACACAAACATGTATACTGTATACCCGGTCCGTATATGTATGTGCACATGTACTATATGTACATGCATGTGTCGAACACATTGTAGATACCCACACATTCAGATTCTGCACTGCAAAGTTCCATTCTCACCAGTTCACCAAGGTGGTCCTTGAGCAGTTCCACAACATTGTGACGAATGTGGCAAATTCCTATCGCTTGCCACCTGGACCGACAGAGCGCGAGAGAGAAAGGAAGGCAGGAAGGAAAGGAGGGAGGGAGGAAGCAACACATAAATGCTATGACGTTGGCCGTGCTGCTTGGGCACTGTGCCCGGATGTCCATGAATGAGATGACATGAGATACTTGCAACAAACTAAACATGGATGAATTAATCCACAAACCAATGAATCAACCAATAAATCAATGAATAGGTTGCGTTTATGCCCCTGATAACTTCACAATCCATGTAACCCGTCATCAAATGCGTTGACATGACTTGGGTGCAACATACCAAGCAATTAAAACGCGATGGCACCGGTGGACCATCATCGGGCCCAGTTTCACCAATGAAATGAGCCAACAAACATAGCACAGTGCCAGTGCATCAATGAAAGAACGAACCAAAAGTACGTTTGACATAGTTGTGCTTGGGTGGGGGTCGGAGGATCAATAAGTTTTTGATGTTGGCATGAGCCAAGGCAAGAGGAATGTGACGTGTTGAGTCTGGTTTTGGACAAGCAACCAGGGCAAATTCACCTTTCTGAGTTCAAGGAGCCGAGAAAATGTGGGGGATGGGCCTGGGATGGCTTGTGATGATCCTGTTGGATGTATTGGGATTAGAACGGGCAAACCACCCACACAGCTCTCACTTGGATGAATTCAAGCTAATGGTACCGCTGAATGATGATAGTAGCCCATGGCACGCATGACATCAAAAGCGTCACTCATAAATTACATAAAAATTGCATTAAAATGACCTTGACATTTCCATTGTTTGATTGGCCGAACCATGCCGAATTGACACATCCTGATACCAGGCTGTGATGTTGGCATCTTTACGATCTCTCGTCCCCAAAGAGTGGGACTCTGATCACGAAGTTGCCTGGAACTGGCTGTGGGAGATTTTCGGTTGCAACCGAGAGCAATGGGAGACGCTGGCGGTTTCAGCATGCATCATCTCCATTTTACATATTGTTACTAATTATTTTATACATTTTTATACTTGACTCCCGTTGCCCATTGCTCGTTCTAAAGGTTTAGTTTGACGGTCGTTTTCGTCTGTCTCCCTGTGCTCCCATGATTCCCATGTCTGTGGCATTGACCGGCAAAATAAGAAGCTGTCCATAGCTGTCCTCTCAGAATGACAGCCGTCTCATCTTCGTCTCATCCTCGTCCTCCCCTGATTCTCATCCTCCTCATCGTTATCACCGTCAGAATCACCTCAGCGTCAGCATCATCATGATCCCCAGAACACCGCAATCAACCGCATGTTTGATCTTTATGGCGATTCCAGTATACACCTGCACCCTCATCTTCCAATGTTCTGCTGACATAATTTGGCATTTTTTTAGTACTGAATTATCTTAATTCAAGTTGAAAGATGGAATGATGTGGAAAAGGCTGTTGCGACATGAGTCCAATGAACACGGTCAATAGCAATCAATATCAATGCCAATCAATGTCAATCAATAGCATGTATACATCACACACACAGATAAATGATATATATATATATATATATGTATAGTATAGATATACAATTTGTATGTCCAGTTTCAATTCCTCCCCGCACGACGGCCATAGCCCACAAAGCTTCGCCCAGGAACGTTGAACGGATGATCAAATCCAACATGGGAAAACCAGGGCAGCAGGAAAAAGCCTTGTCACGATTCATTGCATCTCTGACATCAGAAGATATCTATGTCGTGCGGAAGCAGATATACCAGAGGCAAGCCATGCCTTGCTAGACAACCTCAGAGTGCAGTGCATTTTCGTTGATGGATGCACATGACCAGCGTTTCTTGTGACACAAGTGTCAAAAGTTTGCTGTCAGTGAATTGCAATCTCCGCCACAACCCACTAACTCCAATAAGAATAAATTCGAAGCTCCAAAGCGTTTGTATGCAGTTGGGACGGATCTCAAAGGAGTTTGAGTGGAAGGGCATATTCACTAAAGGTAAGACAGGCAAAAGCGAAGGCGGATGATAGCGAGAGAGAGAGAGAGAGAGTTAGGACAGCCATGCGTTGCAGGTTTTTTCAAGTCGCTCCAGCTGGGCAAGATCATTTCAAACAATCCACCACTCGCTTGTATTTCATTGCTGACAAGATCATTGAGATGACCATGGAGATGTATCGTGAGCCTCGTGCGATGGTTCAGGCAGATTCGGCTGTCGCGTGAGCAAGTGCGACAAAATATGATAGCATATCATCAAATGCAATATTTGACAGCTCAAAGTTACACTTAACATGCAGGCAACAGAATGTGACTCGTCTTTCAAATAAGCAACTGCAGTCAGAAAAATATCTTCCCAGATAAATTTCAAACTTGTGGAGTAGGGACCACGTGAGCACGCCATCACGAAATTTTGTTCGAAGTAGGAAGGAGCAGCAAACCTGGGATCTGTGGTTTGAAGCTCCCTGATTTTGCCTCGGAACCTCCAAAGATTTTAGCTATTCATGCTTTCTCATGCTCCAATGACCTGCTTTGGCCTTGGCTGTTGGCTATGAGTCTATGAGTCTCAGATTGGTGCCTCGCTTAGTCTCCCCGCTTGGGATGCTGTGGCAGCTCTGTTTGGTCTCTCCCTTCTTCGCATTTCTTCGCCCTATTGGGCAGGAAAAGTCTTGCGAATCGTTCCGAACACATGGTACATCTCTACATCTCTCTCTGTGTACGTGCACTGGTTTGCCATGGTTTGCCTCTTCAACTGTTTGAGGTCATGCATTTCATAGTTTGCTCAGTTTGCCTGATTGCTCTCCACTGCAATCTGATTGCTCTCCATTGCTCTCCTGTCATTTGCTCTCCTTTATTTAGAATGTTTCAGAACCAACTTTTGCTCGCCAAGATTTCCTTTCGCATACTTTGTTTCTGGCCACTCAAGCATTGAAGCCCCATCGGCTGCACTTAGTGGTTTTGTTTTTGTTGGTGCGGGCAGGACATCTCAGCGCTGGGACTGCGGCATGTCGGGTATGCTATCCCGACAGAGCTTTTTGCTCCATTCGTCTCTTCTGCCGTGGAAACTGTTCGAGAGCAGACCACGGATGATGTTGCCGAGAGTGCATTTCGCTGGTCTTTGAAGCTTGGAGCCTGAAATACGTGCAGTCATGTATGCGATAGTCGCTGCAAAGTCCGAAGTGCTGATCAACAGGTAAGACTTGAAAAGACGACTTACAGTCGAGGAATGCAATCCTTGTATCTTTGATCTGCGTTGATCTCACGAGATGTCACGAGTCTTTGTATAGGCTGCAGCCGCTGCTCAGCACATCAAAGCCGCTTTGCCAAGGACATTAGTTTCCAAGATTTTGGTCCGCACAATTTTGGAAGGGAGCACAATTGCAACTTGGACCGAGTTGAGTTGGAAGAATGGGAAGCCAAACGACTGTGAGGACCTTTGTGACCTCACGCACCACTAAATTTGACGGACAATATGTTGACAGACATATTTGAGCATGGCCGTGTCTGAACAATGAGAGAGAAATGGAGAGATTTAGAGACAAAGAATTGCATAATGGAGATGAAATGATAGGTATATGACACGCCCGTGTCTCTTGCTGCAGAACCAAACATCCGGCTGCTTGTAGGCGGCTGCTTTTGGTTTTAACATCACAACGAGGATGCATGGGAAACAGGCTGACAGGATTACAATTCCAGCAGAAGAAAGACATACAAGACCCGACGAGCACACTGAACTTGATTTCCAAGCTTGGAGTATCAGAGTCCAAATTGTTTTCTTACGCGGAGTCAGTTGCGAAGTGTGAAGCATCAGTCGTTCAGTACTGGTACCTACCAATGTACCGCATAAAGCATTGACACACACACACAATCATTTCATATGGGTATCTGGTCAGGATGGTGAGAATTTTCAGACAAGGAAAGAGACAAGCAGATAAATGGCAGCCTGAGTTCACTTGAATTTGAAAAGGTCGTGCAAGGGTTCTCAGACTGGTTGCATTGGTCTCTTTGATGCCTCAAAGCCTCAAAACTTCAGTGCTACCAAGGTCATGAAAGCCATCAACACCAATTCAGCTCGTGCACTGAGAAGGCGATAGCGATTGCACCAAGAAACAAGAGGGCAACTGAATTGCTCAACATCACCGTTGGCACTCAGTCAATCTCTCCGTTTTATTGGGCTATCGACAGTGGAAGTCTGGAATGTGCGAAAGCTATTATTGAAGATTTGTTGACCATCCGAGCTGATCGAAGCATGGCCATACAATAGCACCAAAATGAGGCCGCATGAAGAATCCAGGTCTTGGCAAGAAAACAGAACCCTCGAGAACCCACTTTGCTTTGCTCTAGAAACCTTTGAAATCATGTGATGCAAGATGCCGGGAAAGTCATGAGATGTCATGAATTCATTTGGGATGTGCACCACCATGCCATGGGCCCTGAAATGCACAGATTGACGGCTGTTCTCTTTAATTTTCAGACCTGGCTTCTAGCTACAAGTCACAGCTGACATCCCGTCCGAGGAGATAAATACTATTTTGGTGTGGATGAGCTCTTCACACGACATCCAGAAGTGATCCAACGCCTGTGCTGCTTTGGCTTTTAATTTTGTTGGGGCCAGAAGGCGCAAAAGGTCGTGTCCAAGGGAAGTGTCTTAAACGTCAAATGTGATTATATAAAATATAAGAATAATAATGTATACAATTGGTGCCACGGCAAGCTGCGAGCCACTGGAATAAGATGATCCCTGGGATGATGGACTGAGGCAATTCGGCACCCAACCTGCTTTGGACGCTGCTAGATGGTTTGGTTTGGCGCTCGAGGCAGGCATTCAACGGCAAGCGCCGTGTGAATTTCTATGTGCTTTGTCTGCAAACACGGGATGTTGATGCATTTCATTCCGTTTCCTTGCTCATGACTGGGGAGGCACCAATAATCCAAAGTGTGCAGGTTCTGAGCGGGTTGGTGTTGGTGAAATATATGAAACTGAAGTCGCTGGTTTTATGGAACAATTCAGAAATTCACACGTACAGTGGAGCATCTCACTACTTTCCACATGTTCCATGCTCAACTTTTTTTAGCCCGAAGATGCTCACCAAAAAGTGCATTGCTTGTTTCTTGATTCCAAGATCGCCAGGATGACAGTATGTGATTCTAAGTTGTTCCTGGTAGTGGTCTTGAATTTGGGTTGCCCCGGTAAACCTCAATCCAGAAACCGCATGTGAGGAATGGACTTTCGCAAGCCACAGTCACAAACTCCAATTTATCTAAGCTCCATCTAAGCTCCAACAGTTTATTTTATCTCCTTGAGTCCTTGACTGCTCCTTTCAAGGTCCGGAACCTGGTCCAGGAGATTGCTTTCGCATCTGTTGGGGCGCGATGGATATAAAAATCCAGAGTCACCAGAATCTTTTGGCTCTCTTCGGTTTGTGTGATATCACATATATAAGACATTATAAGACATTATTAAGACTTATAAGACTCCGTTTAAATCTATATCAAGCATCCCCAAACATGTGCAGGACATAGCAGATGACAATTTCAGCAGGGCCCTGGAGTGGCTGGTGGAGCGCAACGATCCAAAGATTATTTGCCATTCTGCAGTTGTCCTATTCGCAGACCTCCTCTGGACGAGGATGGCACAGCATCCAGGACTTCAATAAGTGCGTTTTGCATGACTTGATGTTCCGGCTGCTGCATCAAAACTGCAGTCCTTCAACTTCAAGTGGCAACCATGAAAGAATCATTTCTCTTCGATTGCTTGCAAGTGCTGATCGCGGCAAGGTATGACTTCTTGCTGGGCAGATGCTACTTCCTGTTTTGCCTGTGCGTCCTTGGTTTGCATGAACGGATTTGCCCAACCGGCCCAACCAACAGCGATTCGTTCGCTCTCCAAATTCGCTCGAATGAACTAGAACAGTCCGGGTTGACCACACACACACAGATATATATAATATATATACATTGTATATATATATATACATTGTATATATATATACTATGATATGTGCCAACAGCAGGAGTTGTGTGCAGAAAGCGGAGTTCCGCTCAAGGCACTTGTGTTACTCGCCTGGTTCCTTGAGGTCTTCATCGCAGGACAGGCAATCTTGGGTGGTGTTGAGCCAAGCGTGGCTGAGCGTGCTGCCATATTCGCGTGCCGGATATTCATCTACCTCGGGAGTATGTGCCGCATTCTGTACTGCGGCTTGCCTGGGCCTGGACTTGCCAGAAAGAAGGAATGCGGAAAGTTATGGAAAGTTATAAATCATTGTGGATTATCAAAGCATCGTGCTGAACGCAGATCGTCTCCCAAAAGGAAAAACGCGAAGCAGTTTCTGATAGTTTCTGGCCTCCCCTGTATGCTGACGGGTGTAGCTGAGGCCAGATCAAGCTGTTATACGATGACATCAAGAATGGAGCAATTGTCCGGACCTACAAAGTCCCGTTGCCCCAGTGCCTTGTTATAAATACATTAAATACGTTGATCTCTTGCACAAGAGCCAGTGACAACGAAGACTTTGGTTTGTGGAATTGTGTGGGATCTATCAGCCCGAGGGGCTAGGACCAAAATAGTATCTAATGGAAACAGTATGACAATGATTGATAATGGATGATAGTGGTAAAATATGGTAAAATGAACGCAGCATATTCCATGATAACATATCACAACCCACATCTGCAGGTACCTCTTCAACTTCCAAGACAGCGGAAGCCTGCTACTCATGTGGATATTGGTGTTGATGTTGATCCAGGAGCCGCGCAGCTATGCATTAGGACCTCGATTTGTGATTCCGAAAGGCTTGGAAGGATTCAATGTACTCAAAAGGAGCATGGTTGGCTGTTTGGCCGTTGCCGAGTCACCTTTTGGTGTGTTTGATGTCCATTCTGCAGAGCTGTATGGATCTGGCATAACGCAATTTTGTGGGAGCTCAGCATGCGTAGCTCGCAGGAGCCAATTCTTCACTGCCTGGCCTACTCCGAACAATTTGCTCTGTTTGCCACAAGTTGTATGGATCCCGGGCCAAAGGAGCCCTCGGAAAGAATGGAACAAGTTTGAACATGGGTGAACATGGGCTTGATATGGCTTGACTGAGATGCGGCAACAAACTCATAGATTATAGACGTTCTCTATTCTGAACTATGCGTGATGAAAGGCGCAAGAAATTGCACCGTAGCCTCACAAACAGTACTTTGCCTTCTTTTGTTTTTTGTTGTGTTTCTTGTGTGTGTGTGGGAGAATGTTGCAGAAGCTTGCAGATGTTTTCCCAAGATCCTAAAGAATGAGGAGGCATACGCTGTCTTCTCTGGCTTTGCCATGCTGTTGTACTGGCTTCTGGGATGCCATCGGGAGACATGAACCGAAAGCCAGGGCGTTTGTGAACGTTAGCCGTAGCGGTGCTGAGGGTTGCCTAGTTTTGTGTCCTATTCAGCAATCAGCTGCACATGCTACAGGTCTCTGCTGTCTTGCAATACACAGAGGATTATAAAGTTTTATAAAGGCATATTTGAATCGTGTGACCCCGCACTGGGAACACAGCGCACAGCATCTCAACTGTGCCACCAAAGGCTTCTGCTCGTGAACTTGAGCATTTTCTCAATGAAAATCTCAGCCTTTGTTCTTGTTTGTGGTCGTGTGATGGTCGAGGCCAGGGCGTGTCATGTTACTCTCCAATGTCGTTCAGTCTGCGAAGTGGTCGTTGAGGATTGACTGAAGATGATTGAAGATGACTGAAGATGATTGAAGCTGATTGACGCTGATTGAAGCTGATGCTGATTGAAGATGATTGAAGATGATTGAAGCCGATGCTGATTGACGATGATTGAAGATGATTGAAGCTGATTGAAGCTGATGCTGATTGAAGCTGATTGAAACTGATTGAAGCTGATGCTGGTTGAAGAGTATTGAAGATGATTGAAATTGATTGAAGCTGATGCTGATTGAATATCACTGAAGATGATTGAAGCTTATTGGAGCTGATTCTGATTGAAGATGATTGAAGATGATTGAAGCTGATTGAAGCTGGTTGAAGCTGATTGAAGCTGATATAAGCTGATTGAAGCTGATTGAAATTGATTGAAGATGATTGAAAGATGATTGAAGATGATTGAAGATGATTGACGATGACTGAAGGATGATTGATGAAGATGACTGAAGATGATTGAAGATGTTTGAAGATGTTTGACGATGATTGATGATTGATGAAGATAACTGACGATGATTGAAGATGATGGACGATGATTGATGAAGATGACTGAAGATGTCTAAAGACGACTGAAGACGACTGAAGATGACTGAAGATGACTGAAGATGACTGAAGATGACTGAAGATGACTGAAGATGACTGAAGATGACTGAAGATGATTGAAGATGATTGAAGATGATTGAAGATGATTGAAGACAATTGAAGATGATTGAAGATGATTGAATATTATTGAAGATGATTGCTTGAAGTTGATGGTACGCTTATGATTCTTTGAACGAACATCCTTGCCCTGTGAGGTTTGTCTCTTTTTGATGGCCTTCCTTTTCCTGATCGTTGCCTTTGCCACCGCCATCACTGCATTTCATCACAGCCTATACGAGTTTAGCTCTGTGGACAAGGGCATGAAAACTCTGTTAGACATCGCGCTGGGCAGCATGGCTTGAGATCTTGAGGCTTTCCCCTACCCGCACAGCCTCTGTTTTGAGGTCCTGTGCTTCCAAATTAGTTCTTGGCCAAGTCTTGTTGTGCGTTTTCTGCCAGTTCTCATCCGGATTTCCTTCAAAATTTTGCGCCTTGCAGTCGGGCTTTGGCTAGGGAGCGCGTCAAACACACTGAGGCATGTACCCAACCGAGAACTACAAGATCATGATGAAGGAATCAGTTTGGGTGGAGACGCTCGGATGCAGAGAATTCGCAAAAATAAGCTGGAAAGAAACGCAGTGCCCCTCCCCAATATACGCAAGCCTGGTTTCAAGTGATCAAAGCATGTTTATATTTCTGCCGGCTTGCAACTTGCAGGGCATTTGGCTTCCTGTGCGCGCAAGACCTGGGCTCTAAGGATAGCTGTGATTGTCTTCATGATTCTGGTTGCTGTTGTGCTGCTGAACCTCTTGATTGCGCAGTTGAACATGGCCTACAAGCTGGCCCACGCAGATATGGAAGGGTATGCAAGGCTGACACGTGCGGGTATCATCGTCACCACAGTGGAACAAGTCTCAAGAAAACGATGGCGCAAGTTACTCGAGAGACTTGACATTACTTGGCGTTGGCTCGAAGATGCACAAGGATATCAAAGGATTTATATGGATTTATTATATTATGCCTTCTCGTCAGGTGACTTCCGTGCTTCTGCCACGTCGAATCTGAACAGATGTAAAACTTTCTTTTCTGAGCGTCGTTTCAGCAAAATTTAGCCTCAGGAAGGCCAGGCCCGGCTAGGCTTTTGCTTTCTATTTTTTGGTGCCTTTTTACATCTTTTTAAAATGTTGTTCTTATATGAAGGAGGGTTATTTTGTTGGCGAAATTATTTGTTTTATCCGTTTTGGGCATTTGTTTTTTGATTTCTGTTTCCCTGCTTCTTTGCTTTTCTGCTTTTTGCTTTTCTGCTTTTCCCTGCTTCTCTGCTTCTGTAGTTCTTTGCTTCTCTGCTTCTCCGCTTTTCTGCTTCTCTGCTTCTTCGCTTCCCTGCTTCTCCACTGTGCTGCCTCTCTGCTTCTCCGCTTTTCTGCTTTCCCCTGCTTTTCCCTGCTTTTCTGCTGTTCCAGCTTCTCTAGCTTCTCTGCTTTCTGCTTTTCCCTGCTTCTTTGCTTACATGCTTTTCTGCTTCTCTGCTTACCTGCTTTTCTGCTTCTATGCTCTTCCCTTTTTTTTGTTTC